TACGGTTGTTCCACGGGCAAGCCGAGCGAGAAGAACTTGTACGCCGACATCCAGGCGGCATATGAGGCATTGCAGTCAAGGTATTGTAGTTTTAATAGCGTTTTTCGATTGGAGAATAGAAAAACGTTATTATCGTCGATCTAAACGTTAAATCACTTTTTAGGGAACCGCATAAAGTATAGATCTTTTCGATTTTCGATTTTACTTTTTTTTGAAGTTGTTGACTTTCAACACCGTTAAAGTTATAAAAACGCTTTTTGTCACATTTAGATCGGAAAATAAAAAAGGTTTCCAGCTGATCTAAACTTTAAAAACACAGTTTTTAGTGGGCAAGCGCATAAAATAGGTTTTCGCGCTTAATGTAGAAAATTCTACTTTTTTCAAAGTTTTTTTAGATAGGTTTCGACCCGAAACACGGTTAGAGTTATAAAAATGCTATTCGAACATTTCGTACTCATTCAGCCCCAAAGTTTTCGCAAAACATAAAATTTGCCTTTTTCCAGATTCGGCGTACCCGCGGAGAGGATCATCCTCTACGGCCAGAGCATCGGCACCGTCCCATCCGTCGATTTGGCCTCGAAACATCCGAATGTCGCTGCATTGGTTAGTTGAATTTTTTTAAATTGCCACATTTTAGCGTTATAGTACGTTATAATAGCAATACATTCATGAAAAATTCTTTAAAGTTTAGCACCATTTGTCATTTTTTTATTTTAAAAGTATGGTCATTTTTGCAATTATTGCGTTGTCTAAACCATTCAAATTCATTAATGAAGTTAAAGTCGCGATTCTTATAATGTTGTATTTCAGATTCTGCACTCCCCGCTGATGTCCGGCATGCGAGTGGCGTTCCCCGGCACGCAGCGGACGTGGTGCTGCGATGCGTTCCCTTCCATTGGTTGGGCTGTGTTTTTATCCAGATAATCATTTTCCTTTTAGAAAAAGTACCGCGCGTCACGTGCCCCACATTGGTCATCCACGGCACCGACGATGAGGTGAGACGCCGATTTTTTGCGCATATCATTTTTATAGGTGATCGACTTCTCGCACGGCGTCTCCATGTACGAGCGATGCCCGGCGTCGGTCGAGCCGCTTTGGGTACGTTCTTTAGACGAGTGGCGCTTTCGTAGTTACAGGGGAGCTTTTTCCTTTTAGACTGAAGTTTTCTGGATCAGAGAAAGTGTTTCTACATTGTTTTTTTTTGCTATTCCTAAACGGAGGTCGGTTCTGGACTGTTGGCGGGCAACGAAATTTTTCCAAGTAATGCTCACGGCCCCATAACGAAATATAAACCATTTTTGTAGCATTTTACGTAGTTTTTAAATCTGAAAAATTAAAAAATGTATGAAAAATGGCCAAAAACGGCCAACCTTTTCGAATTTTCAAAAATTTTGAAAATTATGATGTTGCAAATTTTTTGCAATCGAAAACTACCAAAAATATGATAAAAAATATATCATTCATCGGCAGGGGTAAAAAAAATCGGTCCCCCCGCTAACAGTTCAGAACCCGGAAAACTATAATTTTGATCGGGAAGCCTAACTACCTAACTTCAATTTTGAAACAAGGTTTCAGATGTCTTAAGTATTTTTCGCTTGAAATCTAGTTACGTTTTACTAAAAACAGCAGAACAACGTATAATATCTTGTGGATAAAATTATTTCTAGGTTGCCGGTGCTGGACACAACGACGTCGAGCTGCACGGCGCCTACCTCGACCGTCTGCGTCAATTCATCGAGACTGAAGCGGGCAAGCAGCCGGCCACCACGCAGACCATCCAACAAAATAGGTAATATAGAGGAGTTTTTCGGCGTTTTTTCGGGAAGTAGGCGGCAGTTGGTGTCTTTTAGAGAGGCCGTTGGTGACGCTGAGACGAGTTACCAAAGTGGCTTTATCACGGCCGAGCGGCAAACATTCAGTGAATTGTATTTGTTACCGATGAGAAAGTAGTCTGTAAGAATTACGACGTTATCATGAATTTTTCCCTCTGTTCGTCTAGTCGTCAGAAAATTCAACAAATTTTATTACGAAAAAGCGTCGTGTTTAAGTAAAAAAAGAAACGTTGGTCAGTGAAATTCGTGTCGTGTCGCCGTTTCAAGCCTCTCTGGCCCGCTACGTAAAAGGGATCTTTCGCATTATCGGGGGGTAAACTTTTGCCTGAAATCGAATCCGCTATTAAAAATAACGTAATAGCTCTATAACGCTGTTTTTTAATCCCCTAAATTCAAATTTGTATAGTTTTTAATTGAAAATGCCAAAATCTCGTTTTTCAGACCAAATTTATCGTTTGAAAAGTTTATAATTGTTTTTTTCTTCTGCGTATATTTTCTACGTACTCTATCGGCTTGAAAGATAGCTAAATCCTCCCTCCACGATCATGCGAAAGAAGCTATAAATCTAGGTGAAACCTCGGCTTTTTCACCGTCTACCCCTCATTGTCGGGTTTTTGCATTTTATTATATAAATAAAAAAATCATTTTTCAGCACCACCAACCACACGCGGGCCAGCGAGTCGGCCCGGACCGCGTAGTACGTCTTCGTCTCGACCAGCCAAGCAGCCCCACATATCGATGGACGGACGAGCTTTGGACGCCAAGAAACAGTATTGATTTCGGGCCGCGTTAAGGTATCTTCCCCCCGGCTTTTAACAAATTCGTTTTCCCCCAAATAACCCGTGTCCCCCATTTCACCTAGGTTTTTCGGGTACTGGACTGTTAGCGGGGGAGGGTGGAGGGTTTTAGCAGGCGGAAAACCAGTTTTCATCTTTCCACCCATCATGATAATATATAAGGTATTTTTATAATTTTTAGTAGTTTTTTATTGCTCAAAGTTATAAAACTAATCTTGAAAATTTTTAAAACTCGACTGTTTTCTTTTTCATACATTTTTGACCAAAAATTCAAGATTTTTCGAAAAATTTTATTTTTTATAACCTTTTTATATCTAAAAACTATGATAAACGCTATAAAAAAAGTTTATATTTCGTTGTAAGGCCGTACGGGATTACTGGGAACGCCCCCCGCTAACAGTCCAGAACCGTTTCTCGTTCGAAACCAACCTCCCCTGAAATTTTCTGGTACGATTGACTTTACTGACAGTGTGCAATTGTCGGCGCGCGAGACCCCCCAAAGAACATTCCCCCTTTATCTGCATCAGCATCGCCCAAATCTTCCCAACGATTCATTTCATTTCGTCTCTCTATGCCCATCGTGTTTCTCAATTTCTATATATTGTATTTGCTATATATACATCTGTTGTTTTTGTAACGAGATTATTATGTGCATAATACGGATATCGCCCACCCCCGCGACGGCTGATGGATGAGTATACTACAAAGATTTGTAACGGAGAGATTGCCAGTAGGAGGTGCCCCCAGATTCCCCCTGTAGCTGCCTGGAAAATGTCCAATTTTGTACGTTTTAGGTATCAAATTCAAGCTGCTGATCGATAAGGCGATGATGTGTATTTCCCCTAATTTGAAATTTGGAGTTTTGTCCGCTTTACCAAATTTTTTGCGAGGCTTAGATTACCAATTTTCATGGTTTTCCGATGAAAGGATCTTTTAAAAACACTAAATTCTTTTCTAAATCTAAATTCTAATTTGTGTCTTTGAAATTTCGAAAGTTTGTACATTTTTTGTGGCGTCCCTAGGCCCTTTTTTCTAGAAAAGCGGCTGGCTGGCATTCAGATAGGGTTTTTTTTTGAAGAACCTTTTTTGCTTTGTTTCAAAACTATCGAAAATTTTAAACATTAAAAAATTTCTAAAACCCGGAAGTTCTAAATCGATAGAAGTTTCCAAATTTTGCGGTGTTTTCTGGCATCGTTGCCTTTTTGAAGAAAACACCCGTCTGGCAGGCATTGAAATAGGGTTTTTTTAGAAGAACCGTTTTCGTTGCTTTTTGAAAGCTATCTTGATTTTTTCTAAACTCCAAAATTTCAAAAACTCGTAAGCACATAATCATCATCTCGTCGAGAGCTTTCGTTTGATACCTAAATCATGAAAATCGGACACTTTTCCAGGCTTCTAAAGGGTTTTTGACGCCCTTCAAGCATCATGCCCTCCGGGAGATTCCACCACGTTCGACGTCTTCTTTCACTCCGATTCCCAACATTGATGCCACTATCACGAAATAATGTCTACGAGTGTTTTGCTGCCCTTTCCGCCCCGATTACCCCCAAAATCCTCAACCCACCTGATGTGTACATTTATTTAGTATAGTCGGTGCTCTGTATTTTACTTTTGACAAATTGCCCTCGTCGGCCCATTCCCTCACATTCAAATCATCCCCTCCCCTCTCTATCGCCTCTTCCCCTCCACCTATTCTCACCTTGCTCGATTTCTGTCAATGTGATAAGTACATTGCGTCTATTTTTGTTTCCGGATTGACAATAAACATTTCTGAAAAAAAGTTGGCGCATGCGTTTGCGTATTCGTGTCGTTTTCTGGCTTTCTATCTGATAGAAAAAAAATTAGTGAAAGTTTTTAGATCATGAGGATGCTTCTGCCCACCGTTTTTAACTATTGTTGAACATGAAAACTATAAATTTACGAAAATTTCATTTTGGTTTGGAAGATTACGTTTTTCGACCCGAAACGACCTCTTAAAACATTTCTGTAACTTTTTGGACGTTTTTATGCTTTGAATATAGGTAAAACTTAATAAAATTGTATAAAAACTTTTTTATTTGATCACTGGGCCAACCTGGACTCAGGAAAAAGGCTCCCCCGCGAATGCTCAGGATAGTGAAAAACCTTGATAAGGAAAAATGCGCGCTCGAAAAGAAGGTTTTTGGACAATTTTTTTTTGATACGCTTGATCATCATTGAAAATCGAATTACGATTCCTGCCAACTACGTTATGAATCTCTCTTTCACGGAAGAATATTTGAAAATAACGAAAATTTCCCTATTGACTTCAGTTCTTTATCACGCAGATTTTTCGCCATTCATTGGCTTGGCTCGAACCTTCATACATTCCCTGATTTAGCTCGGCGCCAAGATGAAGCCGATGTTCAGTGATTTGCTGGATCGCGCCGACCGCCTCTCGGCCACGAATTCGTTCACCAGCCGCTTCTTCAGCGCCACCAAGTCGGCAGACGCCTCATCGGTACGCTTCAAAATATATATTTTCATTATTTTTGTTCCAGGGCCAACCCGCTTACAACGTCGACCACCAGATGGGCGTCAACTTGACCGAGATCTTCCGCGCCAGCGAGAATTTGGTGAAGCGGCGGACGGACGAGCCCTCGGATAAGGTACTGTTTGGTTTGTTTTCGTTTAAATCGCCTTTTTAATTTTAGAATCGTTTCCTTTTCGGCAAGCACGGCATCGTCTTCGCGGGCGCCCCAAAATTGACTCAACGCGCACCGATCAACATTCCAGCCTCAACGCCGCAAGGTAGGTTTCAATATCTTAGTACGAAAATTCTTTTTTTAGATGACGAAGTGGTAGACGAGCTGGCTGAACGTGTCCGTCTCGAAGCCGAGCGCGCCTTCTTCAATCAAGTGTTGCTCAATCGTCCTCATCCTTCCGTGCATGGGATTCGACTAAACTCGGTGTGTTTTGATTCCTTATTTGCTGTCTTTTCTTCAAACTGGCTAACAGTCGGCAACTATCGGCGTGCGTTCATTTCGGTGATTTTTCACTTCGCCGACGGTCATTTCGCCGAATTTTGGGTCAAAATAAAAACGCTTTTTATCGTAAAGCACTTTTGAGCCAAGGAATATCACAAGCAAGTAAGATAAAAATTTAAGGGGCTCAGATGCAGTTTGTCGAATAAAGTATTGTTATTTTGGGCCAAAAACGGCTAAGAAAAATCGGCGAAATGAACGGGAATCGGCAACTATCAATTCTCACGCTTTGATTTTCTTATTTTTTAATTTCAGACGTTCGGAAGTGGAATCAACGACACGCCAAATCGCAACGTCAACCGGCCAGTCACCGGACCAAGGCTGGGCGATCGCCGACTGGCCATATTCGCCGACAAATTGCGCAAATACTTGCGTGCCGGAAAGCGAGCGGTAACCTTTTTGTTGTCTTATTTAACTTTATTTTCTAGGATCTCGCTCAATTGCTGAAAGATGCCGTGAAAGAATCGGACAGCGAGGACATCACCGTCGACATGTGGGCACAATTCACGTCGATGGCAGGCAAGCGCTGCAACAACGACATCGACGCCGTCGAAACGTCCGTCGAGCTCGTGCAACGGGCCACCGATTATTTGCACAAAAGGTGTGTTTTCTGAAAGAATTTAATAAGTTTTTCGTTTACTTGGCAACGTAATCAACCCTTCGTAATTTGCTAAATAAACCGGATGCAGCAAAATTTATTGAATCACGTTGTTTCATGACGAAATCCCAAAAAATTCTGGCTAATTTTGCTCGAAACAGATGAATTAGTGGCTTTATTACTGCAAATTGAAGTAGTAGTACTAATTCGTACTTATCACACCCCAATTTCATGTAATATTTACTTATATAATTATACGAACTTTCATTTATTAATACTTCAAAATAAATTTAATTAAACTTGGGGCATTTTTAAGGAGACGAGGAAAAGAAGAAAAAGAAATTTTCTAATAATATAAATTATAGTTCCATTTTTAGTTTCATCGACCACATGCAGCGCTGCGTCCAAAACAACCTGGAGGCGGCCCGCCGAGGAGGAATACCCGGAACGCGCACCCTTGTAGCCGGTTATATCAACGTCAGTTTATCTTGATTTCGTTTTTCTGTTCTTTTCCAAAACTCATTTTTTGCATTGAAATTGAATGTCCTTTTTAAAAATCTGTTTATTTTCCAGGCGTGCTCCGACATTGCGAGCGAGATCGAGGACGGCTGCCTGGGCGACGGATGCCCCGCCTGGCAGGTCATCTACACGTGTATGCGCTGCGGCGAACTGTCGGCTGCCTCCGATGCGTTGAATGTAATTTATTTACGTTTAAATCTGTGCTTTAGGATTCGCGGGGGGCAGCTAAGTTTTTCCCGGCATTTTTAAAAAATTTTTTGAATACGTTTTAACTAGATTTGACGTAGTAAAACTTTCGAAAACGTTTGAAAAATCCGAAATTTTGGTCATTTTGGCTCGAAAAAAGCTATTTTTCGACCTAAAATTAAATTTTAGCTCAAAAATTGTAACGTTTTTATGCTTAGTAATAGTTAAATACAATGTCGAAACGCATCCACTATTTATAAAAAAAATAGGATTCGTCCGAAAAAAATTGGTTCACCCCCGGGATTCCCCCCGCGAATCCTAAAGAACCTTTAAATCCATTTTTTTGTAGCTTGTCGCCGTCAACCAACGCACCAACATGCTCTACAAGTGCCTCGTCTATTTGAAAGATAACTCGAGGTTGGTGATTAGGCCTTTCAAGATATTATGATATTTTTTCAGGCTGACAGAGGAGCTGAAGGAGAAATTGAAGGTCGAATGGCGTCACGAGCAGCACTCCATCCGGGATCTCTACAGGAAGTGCGTTTGCTTGAATTTACCGCCGATTTTATCTATCTGAACGAAATTGCGGTTCTGGGCTGTTAACGGGGGGCGGGGAGGAACCACTTTTTCGTTTTCCCACCGTTTCGCCTTTTTCTGTCGACGATATATAATGTATTTTATAAGGTTTTTAATTGCTATAAAGTTGTTAGAAAAAGGTTTTTTTTTCAAAGTTTTTAGCCATGTTTTTATACTTTTTGGCCAAAAAGTCAAACATTTTCGTTTTTTTATGAATTTCTATACCTAAAAGCTATGTAAAATACGAAAAAAGTTTGGTTTCTCTTTTCCCCCACTAACAGTCCAGAACCGAATCTTCATCTCGCCGAATTTCTACTTGCCGAAACGTACATAACGAACTCGATAATTTTGCTTTGGCTGGATATCTTTAGATAGTTTAGGTCAAAAGAAAAGTCGTGAAGAGAAAAATATCCAATTTTATTCAGCTTTCCTAAATGATTCTTTTAGGGGCCTATACAGCGCGCTGCTCGGCGTCGAATCCCCGATCGCCGACACGATGGAGAATTGGCTGTGGTTCAAGCTGATCCCGCTGCGACTCGACCCCCACATCACCCGGGCCCTCTACGTGGACCTGCAGAAGACCATTTCCATCGATTACGGTTCGTTTTTCTCGTTTCTGAGGTGTGGAATTTAGTTTACCCGTATTTTTTTAGGCCCCGTAGCTACCTATTTTCCTGATTTTGCAAATTTAGGCGTGAGCTACTTCATGGCCAACGGTTTTCGCGACGCGCACATCTATTTCCTGGCCCTGACGCTCAGCGGCCAATTCGAGCGCGCCGTCGATTTGCTGGTTGAGGTATTTCGATTGTATTTATTGGTCCTTTTGCATTATCGGGGGGGCGGATTTTGCAAGTCTGTCGAATCTCTCTAAGATTTCTAGCAGCTAAATAGGAAGTATTTTATTTGTGATGACTCTATTTGTTCTAGAAAAATGACTAATTATAGAAATTTAAGTTTTGGTCAGGACCGGCCATCTTATCGAAAAAGCTTTTCTTGTGTTTTTGGGAGAAATTTGTAAAGTTTCTACGTTTCAGGATTGTAAAAAAAAACAATTTAAAAACACCTCCTTGATTTATGTTTGAAAAATGGGATCCTAAAAAAGGTTGCTTCCCCCCGATAATGCCAAAGAACCTATTATTTCTCGTAATTTAATTTTTGGTATTTATTCTACTTTTACCTCTATTTTTAGACCGGCCACGTGAGCGATGCGGTGCACATGGCCATCTTGGCCTACGAGAACGGCTTGCTGAAGTTGACCGACCCGGCCGTCGAGATGCAGAACATCAAGCTACGTACGTTTTTGGTGCTTCGTTTTTTTATCGTGTGCATCATAATTAATTTATTTCCTATTTTTAGTCAACACCAATCCGGACGGAAAATCGGTGGCGGCTACGGTGTCGCTGGCCCGTCTGCTCGTCAGCTATACCAAAGGATTTGAGATGGAAGACGTGGAGACGACGCTCGATTATTTCTACGTGCTCAAGGTATTTATCTATTATTTATTGATGTTTTTAATGGCTTTAGCTGCTTTTGTTTCTGATTTATTTCCGGTTTTTAGGGTCAGAAAACCGCCCAAGGACGCGACATTTTCGAGTCGGCCGTCTCGCGTGTGCTCTATTTGACTGGAAACGTGAAGGTATCCTTCTTTATGAAACTGATGCTTATTCGAACTTTTCAGGCTGTGATTGGCGAATCGCAGGGACAAAAACGATCCAAGGCTCTGATTGACAAGTCGGTTTTATATGAGTTTTCTTTATTTATTTAGATTTTTATTTTATTTTTCGGAATTCTCTGGGATTACGGTAGTGTCCAAAGCCTGATTTGTGTTACGGTAGCTTGGAAAGCCCGCTTTTGGCCGATTCTCCTGAAAAATTTCGAAAAATCTGCATTTTAGACATTTTCCGGGGTTACGGAACTTTCCAGATTGCCGTTGGCTTTTTTCCTTATTTGGGTTACGTTAGCTTCGAAATCCCGCTTTTTGCCGAATTTCCTTAAAAATATCAAAAAATCGGCCTTTTCCGGAGTTACGGTAGTTTCCAAATTACAGTTTTTTTTGCCTTATTTGAGTTATGTTGGCCTCAAAATGTTATGTATGGTATTCATTATGATTATTACTGTATTATTTAGCTTAGCAAAAACTCAAAAATTTAATAATTCCCTTTTTCAGCTATGACGTCGATGTGCGCGCGATTATCACCCGCGTAGCCGAAGACACCGAATTGTCCGGAAATCCTGATCAGGTTTTTGAAAGCTTTTTTCGGATTAATTTTGTTTAGGCCGTCGAGCTGCTGCGCATCTGCGGGCAAGATGATCGGGCGATCGAGGTGATGGCGCGGCGTCTCTCCGAGCTGATCACGCAGAACGACGAGAGCCATCGAATTCCCGTCCTCCGGGCTGCCGAGGATTTGGCGAAGCGTGAGTACTGCTGATCATTTTGCAAGAATTATATTCTCAATCCTGAAGGTCCTTCTCCCGAAATTATATTCGGCAAAATTAGAACATAATTTATAACACATAACATATTGGAAATAACTTTTTCAAATTTTTGTATCGAAAAATACTAAAAGATTTAGAATTTTGCCATAGTGTTTCGGGATTAAAATTTTTTTCGCAATTCGTTCGTGTACACTCGCAATCGCCATTTTTCAGATTCGATCAACGCCTCGTCGAAGGCGCTGAGCACCCTCACCATGCTGCTCGACATCCACGGACTGCTCGACCGGTGTCGCCACAAACTTTACGATGAAGTGATGCTGGTAAGGATTTTCTAGAGGTTTTTTAGTTAGCAAGTTGGGGAGAGGGGGTTTTTTGGCGTATTCCCGACCAGTTTTTGCGTCGAATCGAGTGGAATTAGGTTTTGAAAACGCTTTTTAGGTGTTTATTTATATAAAATTTTACCGAAATTTCACGAAAACGGTTTCCGGTTCTAATTTAAATTTGAACAAAGCGCAAAAAGTGAAAAAAAAACTCGGCGAAAAAGCATAATTTTTATTGGATTTTACCAGGGTTGGTCTTTTTTGACCCGGACCCGGACCCGGTCCGGACCCGGGGGGTCCGGGTCCGGGTCCGGACCCGATCAAATTTGCATGGGTCCGGGTCCGGGTCCGGGTCCGGGTCCGGGTCCGGGTGGGTCCGGGTCCGGGTGGGTCCGGGTCATTTGCATGCCGATTTCTGGATAAATTCCACGATATTGCACGACATTTCTCACGTCTGCTAACTTCGGATGGGGGCTCCATCCGATGTGATTTGATGTTCTGGTCTCGACTCCTATATACCTGAATCATGCCGGATAAACCATTATAATTAATGCCGTTGTCTTTTTCCGAGGAAAATTAGAATCCTAAATCTCTATCTCAAATAAATGCAAATACGCAACTTCCGGACCCGGACCCGGACCTGGACCCGCCCCCCCCCCCGGGGGGGGGGGGGGGCGGGGCCCCCCCCGGGCCCGGCCCGACCCGGCGGGCGCCCCCCCCTCCCTTTTTGTCCGGGGCGGGGGGGCGGGCCGCCCGGGCCCAACCAAGTCAAAAATGACCAACCCTGGATTTTACCCAATCTATTTTCACGCTATTTACCCGATTTTCAGACGATTCGCGAGACGCGCCTCATCCCCACCGACCAGATCAACGTGCACGCATTCACCGCCCAAGAGCATTTGATGGCGCCCCAAGTGGGTTGATTTGTGATTTTTATTTATTTTTCATTCTAGGTTCGCGCCGTTTTGCCGGACGTTTGCCTGGCGGTGATGCAGTGCATGGCTGACGCGTTCCCGGAGGCACGACCGGCCACGCGAAGCGACATCAAGAGGTTCGCTCGGTTTAATGTTTAAAGACCGTCAGAACGATGAAATATCGGTTAAAGCAAGAAAGTTGCGCACCGGGCGGGAGTCGAACCCGCGATGGTTCGCTCCACAGACCGACGCGCTAGCCGCTATACCACAGGGCCAAGTGGGGAAGGGAGTCAGAGGCGCCCCAAACCCCAGAGGGTCTTGCCCAATACGGGACACCACTAATGACGACCCTCTCTGCGCGTTCTTGGGGGCAGCACCCTCGGGGTGACAGTGCGCGTTCCATCGTTCTGGTAGTCTTTAAATTAAAGATTAAAGATTTAATTCAAGTTAAAGTTTAGTTGAATTTAAGACTAATCAAATTAATTTAATTTGTTCGGATTGCCTTGTTTTTTTAACTACTTCGTTGTTTTTTTGAGGAGCGAATTTTAATAGAATATTTTTGAAACGTTTTTCGGCGCCTTGTTGCTATTAAAATTCTAGTTCTTTCGCATGATCGGTGGGACCAACTTCTTTTTTCTGAGGACCTGGTTTTTCGAATATAAATAGTGGAAACGTTTCTAAATGGCTTTTTACTTTTCCTAAACTTGAAAACTATGCAAAATTGTATTGAAAAATGTAAAAAATATAGATTTTTCGATCAAAAATCGGCGATTTTTGACGAAAATTTCGACTTTTTCAAAGTTTTTAGCTAGTTTTTCTACTTGAAATATAGTTATTTTATTTTTTAGTAAAAGCTTTATTTTATTGTTTATTTTGTAAGTAGTTAAAACCCCCGTTAAAGAGAGCAGTACCTTCTTCGTGGCCCCCATTAAACCTGTAAATTTTCAGGCAAGCCCAAGCGATCGTCGTGCTGGCGGCCGGCACCAACTACAAGTTCCCGCAGAACATCATCTCCAAGCTGCTCTCGATCCAGGCCAAACTTCAATAGGGGCATTCCCCCCTTTATTTTCATTTGTTATGTGCCCGTTGTCCGTCTTTCCCACGTGTCCATTTCTTGGCCCTCTCTAACTAACTGCCTACAAATTGTTTTGTTATTTTGTGCGATCTTTGCTCTACCGGTTGTACTCTCTCTTCTTACATCATCACGTATCTCATTCCTATCGTATTCCCCGGCGAGACCCCGTTCCGATCAATAAAAAATTTGTACCGTCGATCGGTTGATAGATTTTGTGGAAATGACGTAGAAGCGGTTGTCGAAAATTCCGATAAGCTTTTTCGGTGCCAATGCACAGTCCGGATTTTGACTAAAAGACGCTCCCAATGCCAATTTTTTGCTCTAACAAGTAGTTGCTCTTTGCTCTTTGTAAGCCTCTGAAGCGCTACGCTACGCCTAAGCTGGTTCTGGACTATTAGCGGGGGGATCCAAGTTTTTCCCTGTGATCCTCTACGGCCCTATAACAAGATATAAACCATTTTTATAACATTTTACAGAGTTTTTAGATAGAAAAGCAATATAAAATAAGAAAATTTTCGATTTTTTTTAGTCAAAAATGTGTGAAAAATCACCAAAAACGGTCCAATTTTTCGAATTTTCAAAACTAGAAATATTTTATAACCTTTTAGCAATCAAAAACTACTAAATACATTTTACATCATCAATAGGTGGAAAAAGCAGAAAGTGGTTCCCCCCCCCCGCTAAAAATCCCCACCCCCGCTAACAGTCCAGCATCATAATCGACAGCAATCTGGCAGAGACGCGTCGCGTGTCGCGGCCTTTTGTTGTCCCGTTTGGATGCGGCATAGTGGTGTGCGCTGGAAAACAAATATTGACGAGTGGTGGTGGTGGCGGGCGAACTGGGTCAATGCGGCACGTCGATTTTTGGGCGTTCCTAAGGCTTTGGAAAAGACGCCTTTTTGGCTTTTGGCTGGCTTAGTAATAAAATATATTTTGGGCGCTAAAAAATGCAAAATAAAACACAATTTTTGGCAGTTTTCAGTAATTTGATCAGGTTCTCCTGACTAATTATCGTCATTTTCTGATTTTCAGGCGACTCCCGGGGATTGGCGGATGCGGACGCGCAAGCGACGGCCCGGAAATGATGGCGAAGATGAGCGGACTGGTACGTGCTTTTCAGGTTTAATGTTTATGTTTATTGTTTTATTGTTTAATGTTTAATGTGTATGTGATTTTTCACGATCCGAACTTTCGCCCGTTGCTTCATTTTGGGGCGCGGTTTTGCTTCCCTAGCTTTAATCCTGGGTTCTGGTGCGTTAGCGGGGGGGAGCATTTTTTGTCAATAGCTTCTCTCACTTTAAATTACCTGATTATTTTATTAATATGATTTTTTGAGCTGTTTATCAAACTTGTGGTATATTTTTTTATGCTCGATCGAATAGCGATCGCAGAATGTCGAAAAAATGGCAAAAATCCTCGAAAATAGCTTGCTTTTTCAGGGTTATTTTTGCTTTCGTTATAATTTTCTAAAACTATTGTGTTTTGATCTAGAATTAAAATTATTAGTAGTGCTTTTTATGCTCCACCGGGTAGCGATGATATGGTCACGAAAGAAAATAATGAAATTTTTAGAAATCTAAGACAAGGACCCCCGCTGACGAACCAGAACCTAATCCTCTCGAAGCTAGGATGTTTTAACGATTTTGACTACTTCATTCTTATAGATCGGCTTAGATATTCGGTATTTCTATCATCGTCACTTCTTTCGTTGAACTCGCTTTTTCTTCCTAGCGGGGCTTTCATGGATTGAAATTTCATTAATTTTACTAAAACCCAATAAATAAACAATTTTATCGCATTTTAAACGGGTTTGAGCTATAGAAAAACGATGTAGCAAATTTATGTAAATTTCCGGAAATACGGTACTAAACCCCCCCCGCTAACAGCCCAGCACCTAATTTTTCGTCGCTTTTAGTATTTTAGTAATTATTTCTTTATTCACGCGTCGTGGTTCATTCTGGTTTTGATAGCGGCTTATTAGCCGTCGCTTTTCCCGCGCGAGGCATGCCGTTGCTTTGCCAGGCTGCTTTGCTTCTGGTTCTACCCTCTGATGCCTTGAGCCTTTCCTGCTTGGTGGGCCAACGTGTGTCTTGTCTGCTCTGCTATGCTGTGCCCTGTCCGGTCTTTGTCCGGTCCCCACCATTGGCCACTTGGTTGGCTCGACTTTTTACGCAATCATTCCCTGGTCGACCACGCTCACTTCTTCTCTTTTTCAGCTTTTATGCTCACCTAGAATTTTTTATCTTTCTTACACTAATCTTTCTTATTCGTTTTCTTATTCTTGAAACGTCGTTTGGAGCGTCGCGTAGTTGAAAGTCAAACGGTATTCCGTTTTTTCAATTAGTTATTCTGGTGCTTGGGCAATATTGGGGAGAACCGGATGTTTTTTGTGTTTTCCAGAAACGCCTAGTAACGGTTTGACGCTTTACGATAGGCTGTTTTTGTTGTTTTTTGGGTTCTTTCGCATTGTCGGGGGTGGGGAGGGGCAGACAATTTTTTTCCCAGAAGTCCAGAAAGACTTATGGCTTTCAACTATCGACTCAAATCAGTAGTTTCAGTAAAATTTAACAATAGTTCAAGTAGAAAACGAATTTATAAAACGTCGAATAATTTTTGTGTCGAAATTTGGTAAAAACGACCATTTTGGTCGAAAAATCAATATTTTTGTAGTTTTCACTATAATTTTGTAAAGGTTTTACGTCTAGGGATATTAAAGGGAGTTTAGAAACAATTGCTATTTATATTAGGAAAATTTGATGCTAAGGAAAATAGTTGGTCCTGCGATTTGTCGCAATAACCGTAAATTTTTTTAGTTTGAATTTGCTACTGCTAAATATTTACTTTCCAATGATTTTTTGTCATATTTCTGAATTTTTGCTTTTAGTATGGTAGTGGAAACGACAGTAGCTTTTCCCTGACTGCCTTACCTACGCCGTAAAACCCCCAAATTCACCCAAAAAATACCCCCCGGCACCCGGATCATATAAAACCGGACGAGTGGCCGATTCCAGTTTATACGCCTCCCCCGAATTCGAATGGCCCAGATGTGAGACAATATGGCCGCACGGGCCCTCCGGTCAGCAGCCGTGGCCAACTGTTCCTTAGGGCCCAGGTGGGCCTCTTCCTCCCTCCTCCTCCTCCTCTACCCTCCCTCACCCTCGTGCTCCCGCATCTCGTCCTCCCGTTTTCACCTCGCCAAAAATGTCACCCCCTGCGATTTATTGACCACTCGACTTTTCGTGATTTCTTGGGCTTTTATTAGGCGCGGAAAACGTTCGTTTTAGGCCTTTCATGGCTTTCAGTTTTTTAAAAATTCAGATTAAATAAGATAAATCCAGTGAAAGCGTTTTTAAATTTTTTTCCTAAAGAATCCCTGCTAGCCTGCCGTTTCCTAAAGAATCCCTGCTAACCTCCCGATGTTCTAAAGAATTTCTGCTAGCCGGTCTTTTCTAAAAAATCTCTGCTAGCCTGCCCATTTCCTAAAGGATCTCTGCTAGCCTGCCCTGGTCCTTTTATTATCCGAATTTCGCTGCAGATATTCTTTTTATAGCTTCGCCCTTCCGCTGCACGTTTTTCGCGTGTAATTTGGCCATTTACTGCCAGCTTATTTTTATCCGGAAGAAACCTGGCTTCTTTTCTTGGGTGCATGCTAGAATTTTGGCTATAATATCCCGTAGCCGCATGCTGTTGATTGTGGCTATTTGCCTTGGGCACTTATCCAGAAGAAGCCCCCCCTCCGATCGCTTCCACTCCACCCCATCCGCTCTATCCATCATCAGCATCATCAAGCCGATTCGCCTCCGGGGCTTTAATTGGAACGCTTTCCGGTTTTTATTTTGTTGTTTTGCTGATTTTTCTTGTAATTTAAATGAATTTTAGCTAACTTCTAAGGAAAGGGCAGGCTAGCAGAGATTCTTTAGGAAAGGGCAAGCTAGCAGAGATCATTTAGGAAATTTTCTAAACAAATCTGGGTCTTTTTGTTAGGATTCAGTATGTCGATTTAGTGGCACTGATGGATTTTTGGGTTCTTTCGCATTATCGGGGGGGCGAACTTTTTTATTATTATTTTTTATTATTGTCCAAGTCCGGAACTATCTAGTAACTTAGTGGAAATCGTTTTAGCAGTTTTTTTAGTAAAAAATAATTACATTTCGACAGAAAACTATCTAAAGAGCTTTTTAAAAAGGCGATTTTCGACGATCTATCCGGTGACGTTTTCGAAATCGCAGGATATTTTGGTATAGATACAAAAATGGTTTCCACCCCCGTTAAGCGACCTTTGCCCACTTCTGCCGAGCCGGCCTGAACTCGCGTTCAAAAATCCAGAATTTACTCGGTTTCTTCAGCCGCGTTCAGCTGGCTTCAGGGCCAGTTTTCGCGCCCCCAGCTTCGACCCCTAATCAAATAAATGAGAAGCAATCTGGGGGGCGGTGTGCATGACTTCGTTGGCTTTGGCCAAACAATTTGGAACCGAGAAGAGGGGGGAAGCTGGTTTCTTTCCGGGACCCATCCCCCCATTTGCTTGTCATAATTGACGGCGCGCTGTGAAATCGGCCACTAGTCTCGATTTTCCGAGGTTTTCCTTGATGAGTTTGATGAGCTTCAACCGCTTGACTTGAGTCTGAAATTCGAGAAAATGCGGTTCTGGATTGTTAGCGGGGGGGGGGGTGAGAAATAATTTTCGGTTTTTTCACCTATACCTGCTGATGAGATATAATGAATTTTTATAGTGTTTTGAGTCGTTTTTTATTGTTTGAAAGTTATAAAAATAGCTTTAAACCTTTTTCAAAATTCGAAAACCTTTTTTGGTGATTTTTCATATATTTTTGACCAAAAAGTTCATGTTTTCTCTTGATTTTCAAGGCGTTTCCTTGCTCAACTTGATGAGCTTCAACCCCTCTAAATTTTTTAAACTAACTTTAAGTAAGTTTTGTGCCATTTTAGGCGCTTTTCTCGACTTTATCAATGAATTTACATGGATTTCGGCCTTGCGTCGCCCTTGAAACAAAAGATAACCCGTTATTGAGTCAATTTTGTGTTTATTTTTCAAGTTGGTGGGTTTCCACTGTTGCGTAGGCTGGAAAATATGGAATTTTGTATTTTTGACGTGGATTTATCGATGCCATTCCAGAAATGCTCAAGACGCGAGACGGCAGAGACGCGGCCGGCCGACCAAAGTGCGGCCTGTGCACGATCCTGTCGACCGTCATCGTGTCGTTGATAGGTGCGTTTCGGAAAGCTTGTGGAGGGCGAGGGGGTGATCAAATTCATGAATCAAACCCGTTATCAGTTTCTTCAATGGCCCTGAAAGGAAGTCAGGGATGTAGAAAAAGGCAAAGCGGCTGCGATATTTGTTATAAAAATTACCTTATGATTCAAGAAGTGTTTCTAAACTGTTTTTTATGATTCCTAAACGTAAAAACTTTCAAATTTTGTATTGAAAATACAACAAAAGCGCAATTTTCGACCAGAAATGGCCGTTTTACCATTAATACATTATGATTTTAGCGGTTACCTCCCCCGATAATGGGAAAGAACCGAAAGATATATGCGTGATATGAAAAGATAGAGAGAGAGCGTGAGAGAGAGCGTGAGAGCGAGAGAGAGCGTGGGAGAGAGCGCGAGAGAGAGGGTGAGAGAGCGAGAGTGAGAGAGAGGGAGAGAAAGCGTGAGAGAGAGTGAGAGAGTGAGGGAGGAGAGAGAGAGCGTGAGAGAGAGAGCTGAGAGAGAGCGTGAGAGAAAGCGTGAGAGAGAGAGAGAGGGAGAGAGAGGGAGAGAGAGCGAGAGAGTGAGAGAGAGAACGTGTGAGAGAGAGAGAGAGAGATGCGAGTTCTAACCAAACGCCAAAAATAGCGCCCTTTATAATACCGTAAACAAGATCGTGAAATTTTTAATATAGCCCCAACCCCCTTATTGTCTCGATTATTCCAGGGGGCATTATACCCGCCCCACCTCTCTCTCTTTCCGCTTCGAAAAGGCTGGGCAAACAGTTTTGGGGGGAATTGGGCCCTCGGGGCATTAAACGGAAGAGGAACAATGAGGAGCCAGACCAGCTTAAAACGACCCCACGACCTGGGGAAGCAGATCAGACAGGCAGACACACCTTCCGCTCTAGAAATCAGACGCTTCCTCGTTTTCGCGATGAAAAATGGCGCAGGTTTGGATTTTCCGGGGTTTTAGAGGTTTCCCAAAGAATCTCTGCTAGACTGCCGAATTCCTAAAAATCTCTGCTAGTCTGCCCTTTCCTAAAGAATCTCTGCTAGCCTGCCCATTTCCTAAAGAATCTCCGCTAGCCTGCCCATTCCCAAAGAATCTCCGCTAGACTGCCCATTTCCCAAAGAATCTCTGCTAGCCTGCTGATTTCCGAAAGAATCTCTGCTAGCTTGCCCTGACCTCGAATTACGCGTAGGGTAGCTAGGTAATTAAGTTCGAGGAGTCGAATTCTACCCTTTTTAATTGATTTTACACAATATTTTTCAGCAGTCGCCGTCGTGCTCTCCCTGGTGTTCATCTACGTCAACACGCAGCGCATCCGGAAAGACGCCGCCGACAACAACGAGTACCTGAAAGACCTCGTGCGCAAGGTCAACGAAAACCCCAAGTCGACCTGGAAGGTACGGCGAGATATTTTCCGATTTTTACCGACCCCATTCTGCAGGCCAAGTTCAACAAGTTCGGCTCGAAGGCCCGCGACTACGAGGGGCTGAAGACGCCGAAGAACGAGACGGCCATCGCCGAGTATTTCGAGCTGCTCGAGAAGTTCTTCGAGTGGGACATCCTCAAGACGCACATCAAGTGAGTGGAAGCGGTGGAAATTTGCGGTTTGCAAAAAATGCCGAAAGCGGAAATACCGACAGCCAAGGCAAAATACCGAGCGGAAGCGCTGAAAATTGAAATTTTGATGGCTGAAATTTAGCCCGAGGATGTCGGTATTTCGGTTTGTCGGGATTTTGTAGTCGGCCTTTGACTTGTCGGGATTTTGTAGTCGGGATTTTGGAGTCGGCTTTTCCCTGGACGGCATTTTGCAGCCGGCATTTTACTGTCGGGATTTTCACTTGTCGGTATTTTGAGTCGGCCTTTTCGGGATTTTGTAGTCGGTTTTTTGCCTTGTCGGCATTTTGTAGTCGGCTTTTGTCATTTCGGCATTTTGTAGTCGGCTTTTGTCGTGTCGGCATTTTACTGTCGGGATTTTAACTTGTCCGCATTTTGCAGTCGGCATTTTTGAGTCGGCTTTTGCCTTGTCGGCATTTTTGAGTCGGTTGTTGCCGGGTCGGCATTTAAATGCCAGAATTTGGTCTGAAAAACGCTGAAAAAAGCGGTTTTGAGAATAGCGACGGCAAAATGCCGACAGTAGCAATTTCTAAAGCCAAAATGCCGACATGGAAGCACCGACAATCCGAAAAATGCCTTTTTGCGGGCAGCTCGGCCGGCGTTGTCGGCATTCGGGCTCGAAGTCTAAGCTTTGCAAGGAAATTTACACTTCTTTTTTTCAGGACGCTCCAGGAATTCCCGGAGGACGACCTGCCCGAGCAGTTCGACGCGCGCCAAAAATGGCCGGGATGTCCCTCGATTTCGAATGTGCCGAATCAGGGCGGCTGCGGATCGTGCTATGTGAGTTTTAGCGGTCAAAATTTTTGCTGTCTTCTCATGATAGGGTACTGACGTGTTAGCGGGGGGACCAAAGTTTTCCAAGTGATCCCGTACGGCCCCGAAAACGAGAAATAAACCATTTTTGTAGCCTTTTTATGCATTTTTTCGATATAAAGAGCTATCAGAAAATTAAAAATTTGAACATTTTTGAATTTTTGGTGAAAAATGTATGAAAAATGACGAAAAAAGGTCAAACTTTTTCAATTTTTTACAACGTTCTAGTAATCTGAAACTGCTAAAAACACTAAGAAAATTCATTAGTGATCTTTTTTTTGTTTTTCCACAGTTTCATTCGTTTTAATAGGCGAAAAACAAAAGTTTGCCCCCCCCCCCCCGCTAACAGTCCAGTACCAGGATTAGTGCGCGTTTTTAGCGAACAATAACTTTTGTTTTCCAGGCAGTTGCTGCGGTGGGCGTGGCCGCCGATCGGGCGTGCATCCAGTCGAACGGCACCTACAAGTCGCTCTTCTCGGAGGAGGACGTGCTCGGTAATTTTAATTTTGGCTTTGAAAACGGGGGCTTTTGCATTATCGGGGGGGGGGGGGGAGAATTTTTGATGAATCTAGAAATTTCTAGTAACTTGATATGAAGTATTTACATAAATTTTGCAGTAAAATAAAACTTATTTTGACTAGAAAACTATCTAAAAACGTTGAAAAATTTTTCAAAGCTGCTAAATTCAGGTCAAAAACGGTCATTTTTGGTCGAAAAATCGATTTTTATCTTTTTTAATAAAGATTTGTGAAGTTTTTAGTTCCAAGAATAATAAAAAACCGTTTAGAAACACTTTAGAAAGAAAAAAGAAAAAACGTAACAAAATGTTCCTACGAAAAAATTTTCTCCCCCCCCCCCGATAATGCGAAAGAACCGAGAATATTGCCCTTTTCCCTTTATCGTATACCTTTTGAAAAGTCAGGAAAACCTTTTTCTCATTTCCCCGTTTATTGTCACGTTTTAGGGTGCTGCGCGGTTTGCGGAAATTGCCTTGGCGGCGACCCGTTGAAGGCGCTCACCTACTGGGTCCAAGAGGGTCTTGTTACAGGTAATCAAACGCAAGTTTTCCCGCTAAACCCCTCTTTTTCCCGGCGGTCGTGACGGGTGTCGGCCGTACTCGTTCGACATCTCGTGCGGTGTGCCCTGCTCGCCCATGGTGTTCCCGGAAAATGAAAAGTTTGCTTGTCATTTTTTTGTTTACCTCTTTTTTTCCCTCTAGAAGCCGCAGCTGCGTGCGCCGGTGCCAGAACATCTACTACCAGAACAAGTACGAGGAGGACAAGAATTACGGTAAGTTCTTGGGGTTTTAAAGGGGCTAACGATCGGGGAAAATCAGAATTTTGCGCGCCCCGGGATTAAATGTCTTAATTATTTGCCCATTTCGTAGCATTAAAACGGCTAAATTGGTCAAAAAGCCGTGGATTTTGGCCTTTTTAAATTATAGGCTTTAAATTTATTTAAATTTATTTTAATTAATTTTGCTTTTAATGTGTAATTTTATTTGTAAAACCAGCTAAATTTGTCAAAAAGCCGCGGAGTTTACAGATTTAGCCCTCTAAAAACTATGGGCTAAATTTGTGAATTCTTTATTTTAATTTAATTGGGTTTTATTGTGTAATTTTCTTTGTAAAATTTATTATGATAAATTGAAATTAGAGCTACTTTTTTCTGAGAATCCGTGGTTTCTAATATAAAATAGAGAAAATGTTTTTAAGCTCTTTTTTGCTATTCCTAAACGTAAAAACTTTACAAATTTTAATAGAAAAATTAAAAAATTATCGATTTTTTGATCAAAATTTCGCCTAAAAATTTTTAATCGAAATTTTATGGAGTTTTTAATTGTTTTTCACTTGAAATATCGTTAAATTTACTAAAAAGTATTAAAATACTACTATTACGTTATTAGACATTTCTGGGCTCAAAAAAAAATTGGTTTCCGCTTTCAAACCTTTCCTTTGCAGCTTCGGTGGCCTATTCGATGTACCCGCGCGGGATGACGCTATCCGATGATGGGAAAAGGAGAGGGAAAGTGCCTACCATCATCGGCCACATCAACAGCACCATGGAGGAGCCCATCACGCTCGAGGAGGTCACTTTCCAAGGGGTTATTGGGTTTAGCTTTCGTTAGAGTAGCATAACTGGCGCCTGGAAAAACGCGTAGAAGGTTTCTGCCAGGCAAAGGATCTCTGCTAGGCTGCCCTGCTGGCAGGAAAAAAAATATTTTTGCTAGTCTAGCTAGAAATTTCCTCGCTTCTCAAAGAATCTCTGCCAGCCTGCCCTGTTCTCGTGGAAAAACTTTATTTTGACTAGTCTAGCAAGAAAAGTGCCAAAATGTGTCGCTTCTCAAAGAATCTCAGCTAGCCTGCCCGAAATTTCTAGATCGATCTTGTTTTTTTCGTTGATATTTCTCGAAAAAAGTCGATCAATCTTTCTATTTCGGTAATCTTTCTAAAAAATCGGGGCTTCCGGCCTTTTCCAAGTTACGGAATTTGGAGCTTAACGTACTGGTTTGGCGAAGGATCTCTGCTAGCCGGCCCTATCGGAAAGCATTGAATTTGGATTTTTCTTTGCCGTCGATGTTTTTTGGAAGCTGTATTTTTTTTTGCTTTTGGTTAATGGCGTATCTTATTGTGCTCGGTTCAGATCCGCACAATCCTAAAAACCGAGCTGTTCCTCTACGGCCCGACGACGATGGCCTTCCCGGTGCCGGAGGAGTTTCTCCATTACTCCGAAGGTTAGTTCAACGAATTTTTAGGTTTTTAAAAGTGATAGATAATTATCAATAACTCAAAAAATAATGCGCCTGCCCGACGATATGTGTTTTTAGGGTTCTTTTGCATTATCGGGGGGGGGAGGGAAACACCAATTTCTTAATATGATCCAATTTTTCAAATATAAATCGAGGAAGTGTTGCCCACCGATTTTTTGATGTACATAGACGTAAAAACTTTACAATTATTAAAAAATACAAAAAATATAGATCTTTCGATTAAAATGGCCTATTTTGGAACAAAATTTCAACTAAAAAAATTGTAGGTTGTTTTTATTGTTTTTTTTACTTAAAAAATACTTACTTTATGGTTCGCTCATCGTTTTTGACCGCAAGTGTCTTGACACTAAAATAAACAGTAATTTCCAGGCGTTTTCCGCCCGATCACCGAGGAGAAGTTCAACGACCGCGTCGTGTATTGGTAAGTCAGCAGTAGCGGCAGTAGGTCTCCTAAAAGATTAAAGTATACTAAAGTAATCATAAGTATTTTAATTTTCGGTGCTTTGCTTTTAGCGGGGGGGGTAAGGCAATTTTTGATAATTAGCCCGAAAACGCCCAGTAATAAAACATAATAATTTTCAAGTGCTTGTTTTAGCTTTCGATCATACTATTTTTAAATTTTAAAAATCTAATATTCAAACCGGTTTTTGCGTTTTTTCATGCACTTCGGCCAAAATTGAACGTTTTTCGGAACGATTTTCAAAACTTTTAAAAAGCGAAATCATGTGTAATTTTAATTGTAAATTGTAAATGGTGAAGATTTAAACGTTTCGATTGTTATTTATAATTCTAGAATTTTATTCTCGTAAATACTAAATAAATCTTAAAAAATAACGAACAAAAATATGCTAAAATCGCAATTCTAGGCACGTAGCCCGGCTGATCGGCTGGGGCAAAGACAAGGATGGCAGCCACTACTGGCTGTGCGTCAACAGTTTCGGCCGCAACTGGGGTGATAATGGTTAGTTTTTCAAATTTATCTATTTTTCTAACAATAGTAATATTTTTATAGTTTAAATCTATCATTTCAAACGTTTAAAACCCAAATATTCAGCAATAAAAATCATTAAAAACCCTTCCAGGCGTCTTCAAAATCAACGTCGACTCGATGGAGCAGTACGGCCTCGAATACGAGGCCGCCCTGATCTAAAGATATTAGCGATTTTTTTTGCTGTTTTTTATCCCTAAAAAATCGATGATTACGGGTATTTTTGTTAGTTGCAATATTCTTAATTTTTAATGCTCCTAGTCCTTATTTATTCCTTCATTTTTTGAATTTTTCATGCCAACTGTGTCTTTCATGATGTGCTTTTTTGAATTGGAATAAAATATTTTCAAAATAGCAATCTAATTGATTTTTCAATTTAGAATTTGAACGAACGGCAAACTAGCAGAGATCCTTTGGGATTCGAGGAGTAGAATCGATTTTTTTGCGTTTCTTCAAGATTTTTAACAGCTGGCAGGCTGGCAGAGATCTTTGTGGAAACGTGATCAGTTTCCGAATTCAATAATATCGATTTATATGGGAGTTATCCTTCTACTTCTGGTTAAACGGCTGGCAGACTAGCAGAGATCTTTGGGGAACCATAAAATAACTTTTTTTTCGATTGGATACCCTAAATAATTCCTCTTCTATAATTTTTAGGTTCTTTCGCATTATCGGGGGGAGCCAGTTTTTCTAATATACAGGGTGCGGAGAAAGTTTTGGGTGGCAGAATTAGCTATGTTTTCACAAATTGCGTCGTCCAACATGGATTTTTTGAACGTGAGATTAAAAAATGGCGACTTGAGAAACACTAGGCACCAACAGATCAACAAACTTTTTGAAATTTTTGGGAGCAAATGCACTGAAAGCGTCGCGCTAAAATCACCTTCGGCACGCAGCGCTATTGCTGCTTTTACCATATGCCCTGTGCAACATTCTTGATCAAATTTGACGAAATTTGCTCAAGATATTGCCAATCCTATACCCTATCACCTCACAAAATGACAAAGTATTTGGCTTTAAATGCGAAGAGTTCTGACGCTTTTAATTCTGAGAAATTCCCCTATCGGCATGGGAAACCGCTGCGAAGCTGGGGAGCCTACAGCCCATAAACCGCGAAGCGCCGCATTAATGATAGGTTAGGCATATGAATATTGTAAATCAGGATTTTTGACGTCCAAATTTGGGGGAGTAGACATTAAGACAACTCGAGGTTGAGCTTCACGAAAAGTTAAATAGCCGGAAACCGCAGCACGCTGCTGATTTTCAACTCAATTGCGCCCAGGATTTAGCCAAGATGATCAAAAAAGGTAAGATTTACGCAGGATACTGCTTATTCCCTGTCTTTCATAATCCGAAACCCTGGAAAGCCTGGTGATAAGATCCAAAGCGTTATAACCAATATTTCACAGCAGCCAAATGTGTACCTTTTTCTGGAACCTTCATGTTTCTAAGACGATTTATGTTGACACCACAAAATTAGCGCAGTATCGCTTAGAACCGCAATTTTTCGAAATAAAAAGATGCCACCCAAAACTTTTTCCGCACCCTGTAAGTAGAGCGAGCGTTTCCAAACAATTTGTTATTGTTTCTAAACCCAGAAAACTTGACAAAATTCCCTTAGAAAAGAACATAAATATCGGTTTTTCGACGAAAATTTTATTAAGAATGGTTCTAAACTAACAACTTTACAAATTTTGATTTAAAAATACAAAAATATCTTGTTTTCGGTGAACGTTTTAACGAAAGCATTTTTCTAAGTTTTTTATTGTCTTTCCACTTTAACCTATTGAAAGTTTACAAAAAAACTTACGATCAGAGGAAATTTCGTCATTTTCTCAGAGCATATAATATCAGGCTACAGGTTTTTTTTGTTAGTTATCCATGCTTTTAAATCAGCGGTAAACTGGGGCAGGCTAGCAGCGATTTTTTCGGAATCTCGGGTGTGATTTGTAACGATTTTGATTTGAAAACGCCGATTTCTGCTTGTCGATATAGTTTCAAATTGACTTTACAAATTGGCCATTATACTCCGAAAAAGATATCTTCCATATGGGCAATTGGATGTGGGCCCAAAGATGGCCCCCGGTGCCGTTTGTGGGTGCTTTGTGGAAATGCTATCCTCTTCGACTCCCACGGTGCCCTGGCCCCTCGACAAAAGCCCACCACCACCACCAACCTCTTCATTCCAAAAGTGCCCTCTTCCCTTGCTCCTCATTCTTCTCTGGCTACTTCTGCTGCTCCTGGCCGCATCCTGTGAAACAGCAAGTTGCCCTTGGCGTCTATTCAAACGGCACATTCCGCTCTAAACGGCTTTGTCCCGGAAATTTTTGAATCGCTTCTAAAATCCTACAAAATGAGCGGCCTCATCCTCAAATCCGAGGTTCCGTGCGTGGTGTGTGGGGATCGAGCATCGGGTTGGTTTTGAGGTTGGGGATCGGTTCTTGTGCATTCTCGGGGGGCTTTTTTGAGGATCTATTTCAGGCATAGAAAGCGGAAATGTTTCTAAACCACTTTTTACTGATATTAAACGTTAAACATTTACAAAATTTCAGTGAAAAAGGTAAAAATATAGATTTTCCGACCAAAAAGGGCGAGTCGCAAAAAGGAAGTCAAAATTTCGCCTTTTTTAAACATTTTTTAGTTTTTAGATAGTTTTTCTAGTTAAAATATAGTAAAAGCCTTAAAAACGTCAATTTTTCGACCATAAACGGGCTCTTTTTGGCCAAAATTTCGCTTTTTAACGTTTTTTTTTGGTTTCTAGATAGTTTTTATAGTTAAACATAGTTATTTTTGACTAAAACAATATTAAAACTTTTGCTATTACGTTATTAGGCATTTCAAGACATATAAAAAGTTTTTGATCACCTCAATACCTCGTTTTAGGCCGCCACTACGGCGTGCTGTCGTGCGACGGATGCCGCGGCTTCTTCAAGCGGTACACCATTTTTTTCTGTCGTTTCTATGTATTTCTGTTTCAGCTCGATCCGGCGCAATCTCGTCTACAGCTGCAAGGAGGGCGGCGCGTGCGTGGTGGACGTGGTGCGCCGGAATCAGTGTCAGGTACGCGTTTTTTGCACCGGGAATAAAACGCAAAATTACTTTCCTTTTCCGGAAACGCGCTATAATAATTTTTGTAAGGATTTCGTAAGAAAACGGCTTCTTGAAGAAGCAATAGCTACATTTTGTTGAACGTTAAAACGCTTTTCTACGCCTAAAAACGGCTGCCGATCAACGTTTAACGATTAAAAAGCTAAACAATTTTTTTTTAATTGATTTTTTAATCGTTAATTTTTTTTGTTTCAAAGCTTGCGATACATTTTGTAAGGATGAAAAACTTTGTGAATTGCCAAACCCCAAATTTTTCGACGGAAACCTAGATTTTTTTTATATAATTAGGGGATGAGTTTTTAAATTGTTTTTAACTTTTCCCGAGCATATTAACTTTACAAATTTTCATTAAAATTTAAATTATTGGTCGAAAAATGGATTTTTCGACGAAAATTGCCAAATTTCCGTCTTTTTAAAACACTTTTTACTTTTTTTGAAAGTTTTACTGCTTAAAATATGGTTAAAACTTGCTAAACATAGATAAAAATACTTTATTTTATTACCAGGCGAACCTGACCCTTCAGGAAAAAACTTGGCCTCCTCAAAAACCAAAAATTTTAGCCTGAAATTTCAGGTTGAAAATCGTCTTCCTCAAGCCTTTTATATATTTTACAAATGTCAAAAAAAGGTTCAGCTACTTTAAAAACGGGTTTTTGAAGCCATGTGTATTTTAAGCGCTGGAAAACCGGTTTTAAAGCATGATTAAGCCCGGAAAGCTGGCTTTAGCTTCGTCTCCACCATTGGCTTTTCCGCTCCGAAATCTTTCGGAGAGCTTGAAGCGGTTATGAGCCCTCCTCCTCCTCCCCCTTAACTGGTGGCGCTCCCATGGCTCTTTGGGCGACTTTGCCCAGATAATCCGCTACCGTAGCCCTGGCCCCCGGGTGGGACCCCGTGGGACCCAATGGGGCCCAGTCGAGGGCCCTAAATCCCTTGGGGGTCCGCGGCACCGGAAAGCCACCCCGGATAAGCTTACAGAGGCCAGTTGGAAAAGTGGGGGGTTAGGTCACGGTAGAAGAGTATTATTGCAATTTAGGTAGTTTTTAGGGTCAAAGCTAAGCTAAGAAGCTAAGCCAAGCAAAGCCCAAGCTAAACCTAAGCCTTTTTCGGGTTCTTTCGCATTATCGGGGGGAGTTAACTTTCTCTAAAATAAATAATGAAATGATTTTCCACTGTTTTTTACTGTTCTTAAACGTAAAAACTTTGTAAATTCGTTAAAAAATACAAAAAATAAGGATGTTTCGACCGAAAATGGCCAATTTTTGCGCCAAATTTCAACGAAGTAATTTTTTCGAGTTTTTTTCTGATTGTTTTTCACTTGAAACATAGTTAAATTTTACTAAAAATACTCATAAAATAGTTCTTTTACATGATTAGGCATTTCTGGAATTCTAGGGGAAAAATTATCTTGCCCCCGATACTGCGAAAGTACCAATTTTTCTTTCAGGCTTGCCGCTTTTCGAAATGCCTGGATATGAAGATGAATCGGCACGGTGAGCTCGAGCTACAGTATTCCGCTATTTCCACTTTTTAGCCGTCCAAAACGAGCGCTCCATCTGCCCGCCGAAGCGGAAAAGCGGCGATTTTCTGATGGAAGAGTACGTTGCGATCAGTGGCGGCAGACGTATTAGAAAAAAATGTTAAAAAACGAAAATACTGTAAAGTATTAAAAACTATTACAACTATTTAAAACTTAAAGTTTATTATAGTTTAAAATTTAACGTTTATTATAGTTTATTTTAGAGTCCCCTACACGATGGTGACGGTGGCTACAAATTTGACGAAAGAGCCGAAGAGCAAAGAGACAGGTTGGTTATTTTTACGGCGTTAAAAATTCGTTTTTTTAGGCTTCACGATCCGTCAGCTGTTGTCGGTCGTAGGGACGTCTACAGTACCCCAATCTGTCGCCCTGCTCGCCTCCGTCGTCCGCTGGTGCGCCGTCGTCCCGCCCATCTCCCAGCTGAACGCCCAGGACAAGCGGGTAAGGGAATTTTGAATTTACAGAAAATTTCGGACTTTTGCAATATCGGGGGGGGCTGTTTTCGTTATCCGATTTTTCTAATATAAATAGATCAGCAACAGCAATAAACCATTTTTACGGTTCTTGGACATTATCGGGGGGGGGGGCGAACTTTTTTTGTATAGGTATTAAAATGTCTATTGATTGGTAGGAAGTGTTTTAGTAGTGTTTTTAGTAAAATAAAGCGATTTTTCAACTAGAAAAACTATCAAAAAAAAACTGAAAAACTCGATTGCTCGATCGAAATCGGGAAGTTTTTGTCGAAAAATCGATTATTTTATATTTTTTTTTAATAAACATTTGTAAGTTTTTCACGTTTAGGCATGTAAAAGTAGCGTAGAAAAAATGCCTCGATTTATATTAGAAAAATTAGACCAAAAATGGCCGATTTCCGACCGAATTCCAATTTTTACACATTTTTCTAGGTTTTCTAAATAGTTTTTCCACTTTAAAAATAGCGAAATTTATCAAAAATACCATCAAAATACGTGCTATTACATTACTACAGATATCAGAACTCTAAAGAAAACAATTCCCCCCGGTATTGCAAAAGCTCCAAAAGCTGGTTTTTTAGGTTGAGCGACAATAACGATCCCTTTCTAGGTGCTATTTTACAACTCGTGGCACTCGCTCTTCCTCGCCCACATTATGCAGAAGACGGGCAAGACGAAGCTGACCGAGCTGCCGGCCAATGAACGGATACGACTACTCGGCAAAACGGTGGCCGATCTCGGGCTCAGCGCTCTCGAGCAGTGGACCATCACGACGATTATCATGTTTCGGGCTGGTACGTCGAAAATTCGATTTTTCGCGTTTAAATTATGTATTTCATCGTTTTAAGCTCCGCTATAACCTTAAAGTTTTAAAAACTATGTATTAGCTTTTACTTTTAGCGTTTAAACTAAACGTAAGCGTTCTCGCTGTATAACCAGAGCCGTAAACTTTTTGCTTATCGATTTCTAGCGTATTTTTTAGCGTTTAGCTCTCGACGATTATCATGTTTCGGGCTGGTACGTCGAAAATGCGATTTTTTTGAACGCTAAAATCCTTTTTCATGGATTGAAAACTTAACTAAAACCTTCAGAAGTATCGTAAACGTTTTATCTTTAAGAAAACAGTTAAACTTTTAGTTGAAAACGTAACTAATGTGCAATATAATATATTTTTGTTTCGTCTGGCGTCATTTCTATAATTAGACTTTAAAGGTTAACACTTAAATTATGTTTTCCCTCAGTTTAAACTCTACTAAAACCTGCAAACTTTTAAAAACGTAATATTGAAAACTAAAAACTATGGGTTAAAATTACTTTAAACTAGCTTTTAAAAAGATTTACATTTAAAGATTAAAATAGGCTACATACATAGACTAAATGGCTACAATTAAAATGATATAGATAACTCAGCCTTAAAAAGGCTACAGTTAAAAAAACGAATTCTTGCTCAATTTTCGCAAAACTTTTGAAAGAGATCCCAAACGCTCACTCCTTTTAGAAGATGGACGCTTCGAAGAGCCGCACATCATCAAAAACATACAACATCAGGTTTTTCTATTTTCTTTACTTATTTTCGCTTTTCCAGGCGACCGCCCTGTTCCTCGAGACGACAAAACAAGACCCAAGTCGACAAGCACAAATTGTGGCGCTACTGACGAATATTACAGGTTTGAAAATTAGTTCTCGAACTCGAGGGTCTTTAGAGTAAGAGTTTAGCTTAAAGATCTTAGGTTCTTTTGCATTAATAAAGAGCAGAAGTGCTTTTAAGCTGTTTTTTTTTGCTATTCTTGAACGTAAAAACTTCACAAAGCTTTATTTAAAAAATGTCAAAAATATCGATTTTTCGAATAAAACTGGTCGTTTTTGAACAAAATTAACCGTTTGGAAAAAATTCAACGTTTTTAGATAGTTTTTGTAGTTAAAATGGAGTTTTGTTTTGCTAAAAATACAATTAAAACCCTTACTAAAGTGTTACTAGGCTTTTCTAGATTTATAGAAAGATTTAGGTAGGAGATTTCCTCTGGGGATTTTCAATTTAAACCTAAATTTCGTATAATTCAGCAATAAACGCCGACGAGGTGCGAAAAACGTTTTTCGCGGCCCAATCGCTCGTGGAGCTCGAGCACATTTGTCGTTCGGTGCTTTGAAGATGGGAATAAAGGCGTTTGCTATAGGGCGCACATGCCTCCAAAGCACCACATCCCCCGAGGGAACACACACTACGACGATGATTTCAGGGGCAAACCCCCGGCTTCAGAGAAGGATATGTAAACTATTTACTAAAGCTTAGAATTGCTAAAAACAGATTTTAATTTCTGAACGGCTCTTAAAAAAAGTAGAATATTGAAATTTCCAGCTCTAAGGACATTAGAAATAGGTTGTATTTCCACTGCTGATGATTTGAAGGGCAAACTCGGCTTCACAGCCGTTGTAAACTGTTTACTAAGGCTTAGAATCGCTAAAAATTAACTTTAAATTGTCAAGACGATTAAAAACGGTTGATTGGCTTCAAGTAGTGTTTTTAAAAACTAGAAAAATTACCTTTCTAAGATCTTGATACTAAAAATAGCATCATATTTCTACCAATGTGGCTTTGAGCGTCAAACAGGACGATATGCAACCGGTTTACTAAAGTTGAGAATTCGTGGAAAAATCGTTTTAATGTTTTTGTTATTAAACTAGCTTTTTTGCCTTGAGACGATCAAAAAACGCTGGAAAGCTGCCATTTCTAAGAATTTCTAAGTTTTTTTTACATTGCTTTTGCAGTGTTTTCTTAGCAACAACCGGTTTCTAGAAAGAATTTTAGAGCGCAAATTGCTTACTGGAGCTTAGAATTAGGGATTTTGAGCGTCTAAAACGAATAAAGTGTTTTGTAACTTTTTGTATGTTCTTTTGCGTGCCATTGCCTGGAAATATATCTCTTCGAGCTCAGAACCTTCTCTTTTTTAGGTCTAAAACTAGGCGAAATGCACTATTTATTGTTTAGACACTTTTACCTTTGATTTACTAGAAATATCTAGCTTCAAAAGTAATTTTTAGCCTTTCACTTGCCCAAAACACTCACAAAATTGCTTTTTTTCGCATTAACTCGTTGTGTGCCGTTTTGTGAACGTGTGTGCCGGCACCGTACTAACGTTGTGCATTAATCCATAAAAGTAATTTTTAGGTTTTAGCAATTTTAGCGTGAAACCAACATGATCCGGCCGTACTCGTCGGTTCCAAGCCGTCTACCGCCGCCCGGCACCTCCGTCCACACTGCTCTCGGATCCGTTTTTCGAGCCGTAAAGCGAAAAACTGCATGGATCGGGCACTTTTTCGTTGTTTTTTCAGTTTATGAACTTGTTTTTGGTTCTTTCGCATTAACCAGCAAGGACAAAAATGTCTTTCTTAGAGTCCAATTTTTTAAGTATAAATAGCGAAAGCTTTCTAAACTTTTTTTTACTATTCCTAAACGTAAAAACGATAGAAATTCGTTTTAAAAATAGATAAAATATAGTTTTCGACCAAAATTCCCTTTTTTCACCCAATTTACGAGGTTTGGACAAATTGTTGAATTTTTTAGATAGTTTTCTAGGTGAAATATAGTTTTGTATTACTAAAAAAGACTATTAAAAAACTTTCTATGAAATTGACACCCATTTCTAGAGGTATACAAAAATTTTATTTTCCCCCATAAAAGGCAAAAGAACTTTTTGTAAAAGATTTCAACACCTCGGCGCGCTATTTTTCTATATATATCTGCACTCTGCACATTCGCGCGCCTCTCCCTCTCACCACATTTCATTTTTCGGCCTGTTCTTCAGTTTTCTGCACTTTTCTACCCCGATTTTTTGCTCCTTTTCTTGCTTGGGGCCACCGGCCGGCGTTTCCCCGCAACATTCTCCTCTTTTCAGATTTCGATGGCGGAGAGCGCCCCGACTTGGGGCCCCCCGGTGGTCACGGGCTTGTCGCCGACCGAGGGGATTCCAGGTAAAACTTTATTCTCTTAAACTGCTGGTTTTGCGCGACATTCTGGGCCCATTTTTGGCCGAGAACTCCTATTTTGGTCGCTAGTAGCGATACTAGTCGAGATACTCGCTACTAAACTAAAGTTGAGCGAATCGCGGCTAAAGGAGAATTCCTAGAACTAGAAAAGTGGCAAAAACGTTGAATATAACTTTTAAAGACGAAGAAAAACGCTTTTCGGAATCAGCCCAAAAAACTGCGCACGAAAATTTGATTTTCAAAGACGTTTTAGTGTGAAATACCACCATTTTAACTTCAAATAAACGAACGTTTTTGTTAAAATTGGCTAAAACGCATCACTCCTTACCTCTATTTTTTTCAGGGACGCAGATCACGCTGCGGGGCGAGTTCCTCGGCCACGATGCCAACGACGTCGTCATGCTGTTCATCTGCGGCACCGATTGCCTGCATTCTGTAAAGTGAGCAATATATATACTTTTCGATTACTTTAGACTTTAGGTGGAAATCCCCGTCGAAGATCGTGGCACGGGTCGGCCAGGCGAGCCGTGGACTCGGCGAGATCCGAATCGCCACCCGATCCGGCGGGCGCGGCTCGGCAAACGTCAAATTTCGGTGAGAAAAATCTATCTAATCGTGGGAAAACGAGGTTTTTACGGTACTTTCTCATTATCGGGGGGCGGGGGGCAAAATTTTTGGCAGTGTTTTGTTTGACGTATTTATGAGTGTTTGTATTAAAAAACGGAAAAGAAAAAGCATGAAATTACTAGAAAAGGTATCTAAAAACATAAAAAGCCTTTAAAAGCCGACATTTTAGTTAAAAGCGGATGATTTTGGCCGAAAAATAGATTCCAATTCTAAAAATTTGTAAAGTTTGTGCGTTGAGGCAATCACAAAAAGGGAATTGTCTAAAAAACTTGAACCAACGATAATTTTGTAATTTAACGCTGGAAAATGGCATAATAAATCTTTCCAGCGTCTTCATCACGCAAGTCGGCCCCTTGGAAGAGTCGGCCGTTTGGGTGGACGAGACGAAGACGGTTCCCGGGCGTGAAGTGAGTTTTAACAAGTTATAAGCTTACAGCGACATTTTTGTGTCATTAGGCGGATTTCCAGTTTGTTGAGCAGGTGATCGGATGATTTTGGAACTTCTTGCAGCGACATCAACTCCTTTGCCAAATTTCAAATTTTTAATTTTTGCAGTTTGAAAAAATTATCGTTTTAATTTCTTTTCTTGAGCTTTGAAAATGCGTAAAAATCATAATTTTTTAAATTTTTTCGTTTAGGCGATCCGGAACGTCGCGCCGAGCCTCGACGACCGCGATGCCCTCGGCCTCAGCAACGCGAAGAAGGCGGACATCGGCCACTTGTCGATGGAGTACCCGGATGCTTCCAGTGGGTTTTTTTACAAAAAATTATGGTAAATTTATTGTAACTATTATATCGGTGCTTTCGCAATATCGGGGGGGCAGCTTCTTTCAAGGTCCGAGTTTTCTATCATAGCTGCCGCTTCTAAGCTTTTTTATGTCTTTCTCTAAACATAAAAATGTTACAATTTTTACAAAATTATCAATTTTACAAAAAATAACGATTTTAGAACAAAAGGGCCGATTCTGACCAAAATTTCATCAAAAAATTTTCGACATTTTTTATTTGTTTTTTTTTTGTCGCTTTGAATATAGTTAAATTTTACAAAGAATAGGATTAAATCAATTATTGACGTTAATCGGCATTTCTAGACGCCTAGGAAAAATTTCATCCCCCCCGATAATGCGAAAGTACCATAAATCTGATTGATTATGCCTATTATACCATACGTCTTGAGGTAACCTTCGAATGGAGAGCTTCAGCCCGCAGCTCTACATGCTCGAATATCATCTCGACTCGAGGTTTGGTTTTCTTGCTAATGTGTGCTTTTTGAACGCAAATCTCTACGATTTTTTTTGAAAAACTGAATTTCTTACTTTCCGTTGAAAAACTGTGATTTAACGATTTTATGTGGAAAAACTGAATTTGCGATAATTTTGTGTTTTTTAAAACATAAATCTACATTTTTTTTTGTGTTCAAAGGATACTCCAATTTTAGCCTCGATCAACTGCGCGCTGGGCTCGTCAACCTCGACCGCGAGAAGCTGAGCGAGGTGAAGAAGACGGAAGAAATGCACAAGGCCAACCTGTACTCCCTGATCTCGTGCGTCGACTCCCTTGCCGCCCTCCACGTCGAATTGGCCAAGGCGAAGGAGACGGGCGAGTTCGCCGTCATCAAGCAGATTGCCACCCAGGTGAGCAGCGCCGTTTGTTGAAGGTATTCGAAAATGTGAAAATCTGCCCTTTTATCGACTAGGACTCGACAGCTACGTTGCGCTCCAAAACACTCGGCCGACTATTTGAGGTTTTTGCGCAAATTGCGCTCCTAGAAGCTGTAAACTCAGGATCATGGTGTCATTTGGCGTGTCGCGTAGCTGTCGAGGCCTTGTAGATGCAAGGGGTGGATTTTCGTGCCTGTTAGTCCCTTTGGACTTCATGATGATCCTTGGGCTCCGAAAGCTACGCGAAAATCCGGGGTTTTTGGTCCGAAATTTGATGCGTAAATAGGCGTCTTCGGACGCTTGATGCGTATGGATTTACCTAGCGTAATCGATTTAATCTGATTTTAACTTTGATAAATTTGTGAATTTGGACGCTCGATCCCGATCAGCAAGCTATTTTCATGAGTTTTATCACGCTTTTCGTATTATTTTAGATAGAATTTGAGCTTCAACATTTTAGATGTTGCCCTTTTCTTGGTTTCTCGTTTTATAACTTTTTTCCAGATCAAAGACGCTCGCTCCGAAGCCGAGACGGTGTTCAAGGACGTGCTCGCCCGCAAGGACAAGGCCGACTCGACGCGGAATGCCCTCTCCGTGCTCACTCGCTTCAAGTTCATCTTCTTCCTCAACAAGTCCATCGACGAGAATATGGCCAAGGTATTATTTGATTTTCTATAATTTCAATTGTGGTTTTACTAAGACTAAAACGAACTTTACTAAAACCGTTTTAGGGTGAATATTCTACAATTCTCAACGACTACATGAGAGCTCGATCTTTGGTGGCCGAGACGGACGTGCCGTTGTTTAAAGAAGGTAACTTGACCGGCTGGTGTTAAATTTAACTTTTTTTAGTGATGGCCGGCGTCGACAAGAAGATGGCGCACTTCAAGAAAGATCTGACGACCCGCCTCATCGACTCTCAGCTCAACTACGAGGAGCAGAGCAAGATGATCAAGTACTTGAAGGTGGGAAAGTTTCTAAGAAATTTCGCGGACCTTCGTGTTACCTAAGGAAGAAGCATAATTGTGCGTGTTTTTACTCCATCTTTCGAAATTTGTATATGTAAACAAAACGGAAAAATATTGTCTCTTTGGCGAAAAAATGGGCTTTTTTAATTTTTAACGATTCAAAAAAATGTGCTTTCAGGTGTTTAGATATCAAAAATTATTGAAAAATTTGGTTGATAAAATTGTCTGAAAATTGTTACAGCTGTCTCGTGTACGAAAAATAGCTAAAAAATGTGGTAGGATATCTTAATCATAAAGTTTGTAACTGAATTTTTCAGATCCTTGACCCGGACTCGGATCCTCTATGGCACTGCATCACTTCCTCGCACCAACACCTTGACACGATTCTCTGGAATCTCCAGAAGAATCACCACGAAAAAGGTATAGTTTTATTAAGAAAAATCCACTGAAATTTGATTTAGCAATGGCCGACGAGAAGCAGCGAAGTAACGGCCGTTTCTTGAGTGAGTCTGCGATTTTTGCATTTTCTATTGCTTTCTTTAGTTGTCGAGACGAACCATCGGCAAGTATTCATCACGGAGACCGTCTCGAACTTGATGGCCAAGCTGCAGGTATTTTTTTCAGACTGTAAAATGTTAAAATTTGATTCAAACTTTTAAAAAACTTAGTGCTAGTTTTCTAAACTATTTAGGTCATTTAGAATTGCCTAGATAGTAGTCAAAAACTGCTAAAACTGTATTACAAAGCTTAGAATAATGTTTAAAACGTAGGATTTGATAATCTATTTTAATAACTGTATTTTAATACTTAATCTAAGTATTTAGTAGTGTTTTTGGTAAAATATAACTGTATTTTTATTAGAAAACTAGGTAAAATCTTTTTTTAAATTTGAAAGGACATTTTGTCCAAAAATCGGAAATTTTGTAAAGTTTTTACGTTTAGAATAATTCAAATTTTAATCGAATTAAAAACTTTAAAATTTCAGCGCTTCTGGAAACTCGTGACGAACTACACGAGCAGCGACGATCGCTCGGCCCAGACGCACGAGGACGTCAATGTAAAAATATGCTAATTTTATCAAATTATCCTTCTTTAGCAAATGCTGATCGGGACGATCAACGTCTCCTCGTGGCTTCTCCTGAACGCGCTCGTGCCCGACTCGTTACCGGACGAGGTGATGAAGAAGTACGGCGACCAGTTCGTCGTCTGGCCCAAGGCCACCAAGGAAATCGAGCGGAACACGCTGTTTCAATCCTTGAAGGCGCTACGGTAAGTGGATTTTAATTTTTTAATTTGTTTACTATTGATTAAATTAAATTTTTATCTATTTAATTTGAATTTAAATTATTTGATTTAACGTTTGACGTTTTTGCTCAATTTTCATGCATTTTCTATCACAAACGACAAACTTTTTTATTTTTTTGCGTTTTTTATATATTAAAACACGATATGGAACGCTATAAAAACGAATAAACGAATAAAAATTACGTTTATATATTTCAAATTTTTTTTTAGGGGCCTCGTCTCATTCTTGCTGGAGTGCCAGTTCACCTCGCAGCACGTGCAACCCCTGACGGAGTTGTGTATGACGGTCCGGCTGAAGGCCGTCTCCAACATTGTCGACAAGGGCGTTAATGGTATGATTTTGTCTCTCGTTCTCTCTCTCTCTCTCTCTCTCTCTCTCTCTCTCTCCCCTCCCCCTTTCTCTCTCTCTCCCTCTCTCTCTGTCTCTCTCTCTCTCTCTATCTCCCCCTCTCTTTGTCTCTCTGTCTCGCTCTCTCTCTCCCTCCCCCCTCTCTCTGTCTCGCTCTCTCGCTCGCTCTCTCTCTCTCTCTGTCTCTCTCTCTCTCTCTCTCTCTCATCGTAAAAAATGTAGTTTAGAATGTTTCTTTTGATTGGAAAAATTCTTGAAATTCGAAATTCTGAAATTCTCACATTGTTTAATAATGAGTAATAACTATGCTATGGAAAATTTTGAATTTTTAACTGCGTTTTACTACTTTTTTTTTGTTTATAAATGTTTTTCCCGTGCAGCCATCGCCGACCTGTCGAAGAAAGAGAACTGGCAGCAGCGCGAGTTCATCTCCAAGGGCGTCTGCAAGACGGGGCTGCCGGATGTGTTCGAAAATGAGGTACTTTGTCAGATCGTACTTTATTCGCTCGTAGATCTGCGAGTGTATCTCCGCGGCTCGAGACGTACTTTCATCAAATGGATACCCCGGCGAAACGGATCTTTTTGGGCGTGAGGCGTGAGTTTTTCGACTTTTCCAATTGTTTTTTGTCATAATTTTCTATAAATGTTTGTATTCAGTTGATGTACAGTGGTAATTACGTCTTTAGCTTTCGGCGCAGCATCATCGACGTGTTCGCCGGGTTGATCGTGTCGGTGCGCGGCTGCTTCAACACGTTGCTCGACCTGAAGGGCGACCGGCGACCCAACCAGCTCGACCTCGACGGCAAGGAGAACCGGCAGCAAGAGGGCGAAAGGAGGGGCCAGGTGAGGATTTATAGTTTTTTTGTGGAAATTAGGTTCTTTCGCATTATACTTCGCCCGCCACCCTGGTGGGCCCACCCCAAAGGTGGGCAAAGGTGGGCGCGGAGGGTGGGCAGGGGGCAGGGGTGGGCAGGGTTTTGCAGCGGCAAAATCCCGGCAGTCCATTTTCCGGGAGTCCGGCAGTCCATTTTGGAAGGGAAAAAGCGATTTTTGGCGGGACGGCTACGCCGCCATACTTGGGTTACCATTTGATGGCGCAATTAGATAGATTCTAAGGACTTTCACGGTCTGGGAGTGACGCAAAATTGTGGATCTCATTATTCCGCGTCGACCCATACCCTATATGTCCGTCGGCAGTCCGTTATCCTTGAGCTGTTCGAACGGATATATGGAAATAGGGTTATTTTATAGGGGTTTCCGCTCTATTTTCGTAAGATGTTAATTTTTCACGCTGAAAGTGACACCAGATTGTAGATATCGTCATTGCGCGCCGAGCCATACCCAAGATGACCCTTCAGCAGTCCGACTTCATGACACGTTGGACTGCCGGAACGGAAAAACTAGTTTTTTGATGTTTTTCCGGCATAATTCCGGAATACGGTAATTTGAGGGCCTGAGAGTGGCACCCAATTGTAGATCTCGTCATTGCGCGTCGAACCATACCTCACAAGGCCCACCGGCAGTCCGACTTCATGGACATGTTGGACTGCCGGACCGGAAAACGTGGTTTTTCAAGGTTTTTCCGGCATAATTCCGGAATACGGTAATTTGAGGGCCTGAAAGTGGCACTAGATTATAGATCTCATCATTGCGCGTCGAACCATACCCTACATGTCCTTTCGGCAGTCCGACTTCGAGGAAATGTTGGACTGTCGGATTTGAACCCGCGCCTGCAAAATGTCTGCCGAATGTAAATCGCTCTTTTTATCTCCTAAATCGGACTGCCGACGCTTCGCTTTTGTATGCCTTGGATAGAACAGCTTACGGTCCATCTCCTCCGAAAATTTGAGCCAAATCCATCGAGAAATTATCGAGATATGATTTTTAGAAGAAACTCGTAAAATGTGCTCCTGCAAAATGGCCTCAAACTCGGCAGTCCAGGATCTTCGGCCTCCTACGTTTCCTTAAGAAGACTGATACACCACCAGATAGCCCCAAGCCTGAGCTACAAAATGAGCTATCTACCGTTCCGGGGCGCTATTGGGGCCCCAAGATATGGGCCCCTAAAGGGTCGCGACCCGGTCCTCAAAAACCCGTTTTTTTCATTTTGCAGATGCGGGTTCAAATCCGGCAGTCCAACATTTCCTCGAAGTCGGACTGCCGAAAGGACACGTAGGGTATGGTTCGACGCGCAATGATGAGATCTATAATCTAGTGCCACTTTCGGGCCCTCAAATTACCGTATTCCGGAATTATGCCGGAAAAACCTTGAAAAACCAGGTTTTTCGGTCCGGCAGTCCAACATGTCCATGAAGTCGGACTGCCGGTGGGCCTTGTGAGGTATGGTTCGACGCGCAATGATGAGGTCTATAATCTAGTGCCACTTTCGGGCCCTCAAATTACCGTATTCCGGAATTATGCCGGAAAAACATCGAAAAAACCAGGTCTTCCGGTCTGGTAGTCCAACATGTCCATGAAGTCGGACTGCCGGCGGGCCGTGTGAGGTATGGTTCAATGTGGAATAACAAGCTCTACAATTTGCTACCGCTCCCATAGCTGCAAATCATCGTATTCCGGAATTAATCCGGAAAAACCCTCAAAAAGGCACTTTTCATTTAAAACCCCCAAAATGTCTCGAAGACGGACAGCCGGTTGGGTATGCAGGATATGGTTCGATGTTCGATTCTACAATTTACTGAGTACCCAAGAACCCCCAATGCTTATTACATGCAATAATTCAAATATTCAAACAAATGCTTCTTTCCGTTTTCCCGATGAAATACTTGTTACCTGCAATGTTGAATTGTTAAAAATCTCAAATTTTTTCCGGCGCTCCGCGCCGTCTTCCCCCGCCCTCCCGGCAGTCCCTGCCGCGCCACCAAAATCCCGGCAGTCCCCATTTTGCAGATCTACCTACCTTGCCCACCCCTGGCAGGGGGTGGGCGCCGGAGGTGGGTGGGGGGTGGGGGTGGCGGTGGGATGGTCGCCTCCCCACCCCACCCACCAAGTTTATTGACAGTATAGAACCGTATGGTCCTATAACGACCATTTTTATACCATTTTGCACAGTTTGTGGATAGGGAATTTCCTTTAATAAGACCCCCGGAAATTTTTTCAAAAGCAAACATTTTTCTCTAAGAGCACTCCTCCCGTGGGGTGATTGGAGAAAATGGAACCACCGGGATTCTATAGCGGAAAACGTTACAAAAGCCTAAGCTAGGCCTAGTCTAAGCCTAGACTAAGCCAAAACCAAGCCTAAGTTAAGCCTAAGCTAAGCCTACGCCTAAGCCTAAGCCAAGCCTAGGCCCAAGCTAAGTATAAGCCAAGCGTACGCAAAGTTAAAGCTAAGCCTAAGCCTAAGACTGGGCGCCAAAAAAAAGATGCCCCCCCCCAACATCAATAGCTCCAAAATTCATCAAAATTATAAAAATTTACGCAAAATATTGACTTTTTGATCAAAAATGTATGAAAAATGGCCAAAGAGGGTCAAATTTGTTAAGAATTTTATGTACCTTTTTAGCAATAAAAAATTACTAACTAAGTCACTATAAAAAGCTTCATTACATAGGTGATCTATTTTCTCGGCTGTAGATTTGATGGCTTTGCTTGGCGGGGGGGGGGGGGTCGTCTCCCCATCCCGACCCCCCACCCTCCGCCCACCCCCGGCGCCCACCCTCTGCCCACCCTCCACCCCCACCCCTGCCCACCTTTTGGGGGGGCCCACCAGGGTGGCGGGCGAAGTATATTTCGCATTATCGGGCGGGGGGGGCGTCTCCCCATCCCGACCCCCACCCTCCGCCCACCCCCGGCGCCCCCCTCTGCCCACCCTCCACCCCCACCCTGCCCACCTTTTGGGGCCCACCAGGTGGCGGGCGAAGTATATTTCGCATTATCGGGCGGGGGGGTCGTCTCCCATCCCGACCCCCCCACCCTCCGCCCACCCCCCGGCGCCCACCCTCTGCCCACCCTCCACCCCCCCCCTGCCCACCTTTTTGGGGGCCCACCAGGGTGGCGGGCGAAGTATATTTCGCATTATCGGGCGGGGGGGTCGGAAACCAACTTTTCTATGGATCCATTTTTGAAATTTTCTAATATGAATTTAGAAGGGTTTTCTGTCTTTTTTTACTATGCTTAAGCGTTTAAACGCCTAAAGCTTAACGAATTTCCATTTAAAAGTTTTAAAATAGTTTTTTCGACAAAAATTGCAACCAAAAAAATTTTTTGAGCGTTTGTTATTGTTTTTTTTCACTTTAATTTAATTAAAATTTTATGAAAACCTTATTTAGACTTATTTATTTAAACTTATTATCATAATTGGGGTAGCTTTTTTGTCGTTGTTGCCTCTGTCACCTGAAAAAATCTCTTTTATACCATTAACCTCCTTCCAGATGACGATCAAGAAGTTGTTGATCTCGATCTGCAACGTCGAATACATTGCCGACACATCGCTGAAGAATATCGGCCGTCGGATGGAGGAGAACGGCGTCAAATACGCTGATGTTATACTCGAGGTTGGATTTTTTCAAAAAGATTGTAAAACTTTTATTCTTTAGAACGCGCGATCTCGGCTGATGGAATACCGACAGCGCCTCGTGTCCATCTACAACCAAATCAAATGCGCCAACTTCCAGACCCTCATCCGATCCGCCAACTACGACTATTTGCCGGATGAAGGTAATTTGATTTCACACTTCAGGCTTTTGGTAAATTAAAAGGTACTTTGTCATTATCGGGGGGGGGGGGAAGCAGCCGGATTTTTCTAATATAAATAGGCAATGCGTTTCGATGCTGTTTTATTTGTTACTTTGAACGTAAAAATTACAAACTGTCATTGAAAATACAAAAAAAAAAACTGAGAATTTCGGTCCAAAATTGGCCAATTTTTGCCGAAAAATGCGATTAAACATAATTTTTTCTAAGATTTTTCAGTTGTTTTTGCTCGAAAATATGATTTTGTTTGACTAAAAACGCTATTAAAATAGTTACTATTAAATTACTAGGCATTTCTGGACTTAGGAAAGACTTCTGTCCCCCCGATAATGCACAAGCACCAATTTAAAAATACTTGGTTTTTGCTATTTCCCACATTTTTAGACATCTCCGATTTCGCGAAGGAGATCATCATGTGCTGCGTGTTGGAGCAGGCCGAGCTCGAGGTGAACGCGCCGCAACTAACACAGGAATGCCTGCAGCACGCCGTGCAGTACGCCTTCCAGCAGCTGATCATGCATCTGGTTGGTCGTTGCAAATTTGATTTCTCCGCTTTAGTTAGAAATAAATTTAACTTAACGATTAAACGATAATAACCAGTTTAATCATATTTAAATAGGGAAAGGATCCTGATTTTCTAACATTTTATTTCCTTTTATTTTTTATATATTTTTTTTAGAAAGACCACCCGCCTCGTGACGTCGACTCGACGACGCAGTGCGTCATCGACATGTCCGGGCTGGAGCAGGCGCTCGGGCCGTTTCTCAGCCTCGACACGCGCACCATCCTCAACGCGCACCGCGCCCAGCTCGTCGAACATTTGGATCAGGGGTAAGAATTTTTGGTACTTTTGCGATAACGGGGGGGGGGGGTGGTCTAGTCATTTTCATAGTGTTTTTGTGCAAAATTTAGCTATATTTCAAGTGAAAAACTGTTTAGAAAACAGAAAAGTGTTAAAAATGTTGCAATATTCGTCGAAAAACTAGGTTTTTTGGGTTTTACTCTCAATTTATGAAGTTTTGACGTTTAGGAATGCGAAAAACTATGTAGAAAAATTCGAAATTTGGTGGAAAATCGCTACTTTTAACGACATTTTTTGATTTTTGCGTAGAGAAATAGTAAAAAGTGTAGAAACATGTTCTTTATCAAAATATTAGAAAAATTGGATGTTAACGGGAAAAAAGTTTCTGGTTCATTAGCGGGGGGAGCGGGCGTGACTACTCCCCCCTGCTAAGGAACCAGTCCGGAAAAAAGTGTGTTCCCCATGATATTGCGAAATTTGAGATCTAAAAGTCTTTTTCTGGAATGACCACTGTTGTTTAGAAAACTGCAACGCTGCATGAACAACCTGCGCGACTCGCTGCGGATCGCCCTGGAAAGTCTGGAAGCCAGCGGCCGCGACGACCTCAACGCGTCTAACATTTGAAGCCACACCTCCTAGGAAATGTTTTGAACTTGCACGACTCGCCGTGGTTTTCTAGGTGTCGAATTGTTCGCCGGGCACCCTGCCTAATAATTTTCGCAATTTCAACCAAAAAATTTTTTTGCTTCTGGCCCGTTGCTTGCTCATCTACTAATCCCAGGGTTCCCCTAGTTCTCCGTATTCTACATTAAGCGGTGCTGGGCTGTTAGCGGGGGGGTTTCCATTATTTGTTAAAAATTGTAAAATCTTTCGAAAATTTGTAATTTTTTGGACAAAAATTTATGAAAAATGGGCAAAACTGTCAAAATTTTCGAATTTTCAACATTTTCGACATTTTTTATAGGTTTCTAGCATTCAAAAACCACTAAAAACACTAAAAAATCGGCTATTTTTGTTAACAGATAGGATAGCGGAAAAAAACAAAAAATGTTCCCCCCGCTAACAGTCCAGTACCCTGTAAGCTGCTTTTTATATATTACCTTTATCACTTCTTTGTACAAAATGTATCCATTTTCCCCCTTTTTTGATGCCTCCAATTAACTTATTTGTCGTGCGTTTGTGCGTGTGTGATTTCTCGGTACCAATGAAAACCAAATTCTGCTGCCCCGCCCTGATCGATTGACTGTGATTTTTAGGTATTATGATCAAACGAACACCGCTTTCATTTGCTTTTTATGAGATTTATTATCCCCCGAAAAAAACTTCTAACCCCTCCCCCCTCGCGTCCACATTACACGGTGCAGGAATACCACGATTTGTCCTACGAAACGATGCGCAATAAAATATTTATAATTTTTATGTGCATTTTCGGATTGTATTTCGGTTGTGGATACGAGATTCGATATTTCTGCGTTTTTAAAAGTTAGTTTTGAACTTTTTGTTGGCTATGTAACCTCGAGATTTTGTAACCTCTATGTAATCTAGATTTTGCGTATTAGAAAATAGGATACATTAAAAATAAACCTGCTTTTTATTACTTTAGGATGAGGTCTCATTATTCAGACGGGATTTGATTTGATATTCTGGTTTTTCGTAAAAGCTTTTTTGTTTTTGTTAACGATGTATCCCCTAGATTTTGCCGGCTATAAAATAGGATACATTAAATTAATTAGAAGAGAACTTTTTGGTTTTTAGGTATTTCACTGTCGTAGCGAGATTCGATATTTCTGGTTGGCCGTTAAAGCCTTTGGGCTTGTGGTTAGCTGTAGATCCGAAAAGATCTTGGTTACGAGAAAGTAGGATAGAATCAAGTTTTTTCAATTTTTTTTGACAATTTTACGTTTTCTCTATTTATATTAGAGAACCAACAAAACGGGTACTGTTTCTTGCCGGCCACCGTACGTACGTACGGCAAGGAACGGCAAGTTACGTTTTCTCTATTTAGGTTGGAAGGAAGTTGCCCCCCCCCCGATAATGTAAAAGAACCCATAGCCAACAATGTACTATCTTGCCCGTAACTTTAATCTTTTTAATTTTCTGAATTTTTAATTCTTAATTTTTAATTTTTATAGGCTCCTTTTTCTAGAAATGTCTCGCGGCTCCTCCTCGGGCTTCGATCGCCACATCACCATCTTCTCGCCGGAAGGGCGCGTCTACCAGGTGGAATACGCGTTCAAGGCCATCAACAGCACCAACTTGTCGGCGGTCGCCGTCAAGGTTTGCATTTTCGATTTTATTAATCCTGTAAAATTAGGGCAAAGAAACGGCGTGCATCGCCGTGCAAAAGCGCGTCCCGGACAAGCTGATCGTTCCCGAGTCCGTCTCGTCCGTCTACCAGATCTCGCCGACCGTCAGCTGCTGCATGCTCGGCATCATCCCGGACTGCAAATTCCAGGTGCGTTAGAGTTTGATTTAAATTCTGGTTCTTTCGCCTTAACGGGGGAGGAATTTTTCTTGCAAAAATATTGATTTTTCTAGCGAAAATCACGATTTTTGTCCAACAATTCGACTTTTTCAAAACGTGTAAAGTTTTTAGATAGGTCTTTTTTCCAGGTGCGCCGCGTCCAAATGGAAGCCGCCCAGTGGAAGTACAAGAACGGCTACAACATGCCGCTCGAGCAGCTCGCCCGCCGCATCGCTGACCTCAACCAATTCTACACGCAAAACGCTGAGGTATCTTTCCAATGGTTACAGAGAATAATTTTTCATTTTAGATGCGTTCCCTGGGCTGCGCGATGTTGATGATCTCATTTGATGACGAGGATGGGCCGCAGGTGAGAGTTTTAGACATAAAATTTTAAATACTGGGTGTCCCAAAAAAAGCACCCCCCCTTTAGCGGTCCGGGGGAAGCTCAGATCGGGATAATTTTTATACCATTCGAAAGCTCTCGGAAAGGCGAGAAAACAAGCGACATTCATTTTATGAGTTTTATTTTTATACGCTGGATATTCAACGTTTTTCTAAAAAACAGGTAGATTTCCAATAGGAATTTCGCGATTAGCATGCAGATCTCGCGTAAATCTGCCGTTTTCATGGTTTTTGGGCGTAAAATTTGCTAATAAAAATACATAGTAAAGCAAAAGAACCCTCCTTGTTTTCTCGCCTTTTCAAGAGCTTTCGATAGACACCTAAACGGTGGAAATCGGCCACGACTGTGCGCCGCTAGAGGGTGGTGCTTTTTTTTGGGACACCCTGTAGAGACGTTGTAGTCGTGGTATTTTGATAAATTTGTTTTTTTCTAGGTATATCGTGTCGACCCGGCTGGGTACTACCGAAACATGAAGGGCGCCGGGCTGGGCGTCAAGGGCAATGCGATCAAGCTGGCGCTCGAAAAGAGGTAGTGGAATGCTGGAGGACGTACTCCTTGCTACTTTTATTTTACCCGATTTCTAATAAAACCCCCAACAACTTTTCGCGTATTTTTTGGTACTGGAAATTTATCGGGGGGCAAAACTGATCTTTCTTTATTTTCTTAGTTTATGCCTACGTATCAATATATACGTTTTTGTGTTTGAAGGTTTCTTATAGCCAAGAATTTTATTCAAAACATTTTAAGTGTAAAAAATGACGTTTTCAAACCGCCTTTTTCTTTTTATTGGTTTTTAGGGGAGGTTTTTGGCGATACAACCGATGAAAACCGCTCTAGATAACAGGAAAATCACGAAAAAAGAACTAATAGTCGCTTCGCTGGCATGCTTACTGCAATTAAAATTGTTCCATACCATGAGCTGATTGTGTTAGTGGAAATACCTAATTTATCTTTCTAGGATGAAGAAGCAATCCGAATACGACCACGATGGAGCCATTCAATGCGCCCTGGAAACGCTGCAGGTAGTCATTTAGATTTAAAAAAATAGTCGTATTAGTTATATGCATTTACTTTGTTATTATACATTTTATTTTATTCATGCGTCTTTTATTCAACGCGTTCTTTAGGAAAGCCTCGGCAACGACCTACGCTCCACCGATATCGAAGTGATCTACGTGACCAAGGTTTGTTTTTGCCCCGTTTTCCGAACAACTTTTCGTTTAGGACAAGCCCGGCTTCAACCAGCTCCAATCTCACGAAATCGAGGCCCACCTGACCGCCATCGCAAACCGGGATTAATTTAAGGTCGTCAAAAATCATGTTTTTTTTTAAATGTTGTGCATATTTTTACCTTTGCTCTGTTTCGGGTCCATCCCCCAAATCACGGATAAATCCATTTTTGCTGACATTCTCAAGATTAACTACAAATTACAGGCTTTTCCGCAAATGCTTGCTGCTAGAGGGCCCATTTTCCTCAAATTCTTGCTGCTAGATGGCTCGTTTTCCGCAAATTCTTGCTGCTAACTGACCCATTTTCTACGGATTCTTTCGGCCATCTGCAGGTTCCTCCCATAGCTTGCCTCGGCTGCATTGCACCATAGTTGCTCCCTCGCCGCGTAGCCCACACCCAAAAGGCCAGACACACAGAGGGAATGCCGGCTATTACCCGATACACGGCTGGAAATTACTTCCTGGAAAAAATTAAATTTTTATAGAAAGTTATGGCTGCGCTTGGGAAATGAGCGAGGCTTTGAAGGGATAAACCTACATTTCAACGGGCTAGATTAGCTTCTTTTGGAAAGTGTTTTGAATTGTAGTTTAAAGTTTCGATCGTCTCTTTCAATTTTTTATGTGATTTTATTAAAAATATTGTATAATACGCTTTTTACAGGTTTATCTATAAACCACCCGAGCGAAAGAAGCGGAAGTTTCTTTAACCGCTTCAAAAACATCCTTTAAAACGAGTTCTAATCTTTAATTTGAAGTTCCACCCTTCCACCTCCATTTTCTTCGTAAATTCATCAAAAATATGGTATATTATATCAATTTTCAGGCTTATGGTAAAAGAGCCGGAGCCAATACGGCGGATATCCCCTCCCGACGATGACGGCGAATCCGGGGAGTCGAGCGGCGGCGACGACGACGCCGACGACCAGCCGTTCAAGCTGAAGAAATTTCGCTCGGCCGACTTTGAGGACTCATCAATTGTAAGTGGGGGGCTTCAAAATGATCGTATAAACACCGTAAAGAAGCTTAAAAGCTTTCTTGCTTACAGTGAGTCGTTTTCCGGTGGTTATCGAGTTTTTCTATGTAAAAGGGGTCACTTGAAAGAGCTTGACTTTGTGAACGAGTACCAGATGTCCAAAACTGCTGAAAAAGCGCGTAAAGCCGATCAGCAACGGTAATAATATATTCAAAAACCTATAATCCAAATTATATTCAAATTTATTCATTACATTTCAGGACTTTGTCGACTCGGAGCCAGAGCCCTCCTCGGCGGTCGGCTCAGATGGATATGAGCAGGGCTCGGAGGCCGACAGCGATCTGGGCGGAGATTCGAGGGCTGAAGATACGGATGATGAGGAGATGCAACCCGACGTGAAGAACGATATGAAGGAGGAGCGGAAGGAGAATGGAAACGGATGGAGGCCGGGCAGATCGTTACGATCGGCCGACCATCAGAAGCCGTCGATTGCCGCGTCGGCCGGGCTGGAGGAGGAGGCCGAAGACGATGACGATGAGGAAGAGGAGGAGGAGGACGTCGATGAAGAGGAGGACGGGCCTGAACTCGTCGAGGATGACGAGGAAGAGGAAGCCGACGAGCCGGAAGCCGAAGATTTGGAAGAAGGTTGGTTAGCCTTTTTCTCGGCGGCAACTAAACTTTTTCCTAAAAGTCCAAATATGCCCAGACATTCAATAGAGGGTTTTTATTTTTTTAAATTTGGCAAGACATAGAATAAAAACACGTTTAGCAAATTATTTTAGAAACCCTCAAAAAAGTTGAGATTTTGAAATTTATTGTTATAGTAAAATAATAGCAGGTTTTTACGTTTAAGAATAGTAGGACTAATCGGGAAATCGCTACTCTATTTATATTAGAAACCCCCCGATATTACAACAGTACCGCATTTCAAAAAAAAAATGCAATTTCTGGGTTTTATGTGAAAAATAGTCTTGTTTTTATCGTATTTCCGCCAATATAATTACTCTATTTTAGAAAAATTTGGTCAACCCCCGTCACATCTGCCGTTTACCGCCCTTTTTCAAAAATTTTCAAAAATGATAAGGGTCCCCCCTTATCATTTTTTCGCCATCTGCAGATTTCGGGGGGCGGCATGCCCCCCCCCCCCTCCTACGGGCCTGTAGAGCAAACGTAATAAGTCGCCCTTTTTCAGAAGAAGAAGAGGAGCAACCGGAAGCGTCGGGCAGTTCAACCTCCGACTCCGACGGCTCTGAATCTGAGGCAAGCGTCGAGCCTGACGAGGATGAGCCCCAACCCGGCAGCTCGAAGGCCCCGCAAGTGGCCCCGCTCAAAAATGGCCCGCTTCCGAATGGTCCGGGAAGACCGGAGAATGGGACGAGGATTCGCATAAATGGAACGGCCACAAATTCACACCCAAAACTGCGACCCGACGAACGGACACCCGAGAAATTGAGGGAAGAGCTCCGGAGAAAGTTGCTAAAAGTGGGTTTTTTAAAACTTTTTGGTGAAATTTTGTAAAATTTTGGTACTGGATCGTTATCGGGGGTCCAAAATTTTAGGTGGGATCTGGTCATTTTTCGGTTATTTCGCATTATCGGGGGGCAACTTTTACTTAGGAATGAATTTTTTAGATATAAATAGTGCCAGTGTTTCTAAATGGTTTTTTACTAGTCCTAAACGTGAAGACTATGAAAAATTTTGTTAAAAAATGTCAAAAATTTCGATTTTCAACCAAAAATGGCCGATTGTTTACCAACGTTTCGACTTTTTGAGCATTATTTAAAGTTTTAGACAGTTTTCTAGTTGAATAATAGTTTTGTATTTAACACACTATTAAGATTAAGATTTATTTAGTTATTGGACATTTTTGGGCTTATACAAAACAGTTTTTGACGAAAAATGGACATCTTTCGACAAATATTCCCATTAAAAATTGTGCTGTTGTTTTTATTGTTTTTTTTTTCACTTGAAATATGGTTAGCTAAAAGAATTATTAAAATACCTACTATTACATTATTCAGAATTTATGGCCTCCCCCGATAATGCAAAAGCACCGAAAAAATGCTATTTTAATACTGGGCCCTCGACGGGCGGTGTATTATTAATTAAACACCCCCCCGATAACGCTCCAGAACCTAAAAATCGGTTATAGCTAGAAACTGACAAAAAGACAATTTATCCCATTTTTTCCAGATGCGCACGCTGACGCCAGAACAGTTGAAGCGGTTGAAAGCACGACTCACCCCAGCCCAACTCAAACGCCTCCGGGCCAAAGCTATGGCACGGCTTGGGCCGAAGGCGAAGCGTGTCATCCAGATGCATCAGATCAACCGGAAGCAGCTGCTGCGCTTTCGACGGCTGGCCCGGCTGAAGCAAAAACTGGAAAAGGAGCGAATACCCGTCCCGCCGGCTGTCACATATCTACATAATCATCTACATCATCGCTTCCAGCTGATGCGATTGCATAAACAGGTCGGAGAAAATTTAAAATAGGTTTTTTTAGTAAATTTCTGGTGTTTTGGCATTATCGGGGGGCAAAGCTTTTTATTAGGATCTAATTCTAATCTGAGCCTAATTTTTCGTAGCGGAAGGGTTTCTAAACTGTTTTTTTTACCATTCCAAAACGTAAAACTTTACAAATTTCCATTAATAAATATGAAAATCTGGATTTTGGCCAATTGCGATTTTTATATTTTTAAAGTTGCTTTTGATGGTTTTGTACATGAAATTTAGTGTTGTTTAATACAAAAATACTACTAAAATAATTGATATATGAGTTACCAGAAATTTCTGAACTTTCTGGAAAAAATTTGATACCCCCCGATAATGCAACAGCACCAAATAGGTGAAGCTGAAACGACGCTTTTTTCACTCTTTTCATCAATTAACTGTTTTGGCTTTCAAGCTAGTTAAATTCTGCTTCAAAATTTTAAAGCTCTTTCTCGCTTCGTTTTTTCCATGATAATCCGGGATTTTATAGAAAAGAAAAGCAGCAATTGAGAAGGTAATTGCTAATTTTTTTTGAATATTTACACATATTTTTAACTTGAAAATTATTTTTATAGTTTATCCACCTTTTCCAGGCTGCCCGCGACGCATCACAACGCTCCTACCGTGCCGCACTTCCCCTGCGCGTCCAGCGCCTGAAGCGAGCCCTCGACATTTCGCGCTTCGTCGCCCAAATGGAGAAGCTGCTCGCCAAGCCGATCAAGTGCGTTTTGGGGCGTAAATGGGGTGTCATTGTGAAATTAGGAATTTTTTTTACTGGTTTGGAAACATCTTGTATTTAAATTTAGCGAATTTACCTCTTCAACGCCCATTTTGAAAAGCGAGCGGTAATCCAGAAAAACGCGTTTTTACCTGCTACTTTTCTTAATTGCGGTTTTTAAATTTTTATTATTATTGCTAATTTTGGTGCTTTCGCATTATCGGGGGGGGGGGCGGCAATTTTTTCTTGTTAGTCCAGAAATGCCTAATACGTTTATTGGATATATTTTTATAGTGTTTTTAGCGAAATTTAACGATGTTCAAGGGGAAAACTAAAAAAACGTGGAAAAATTTGAACGATTTTGGTTAAAAAAAATCGTGATTTTTGTAATTTCCGATAAAAATTGTAAAGTTTTTACGATTAGATATAGTGAAAAATAGTTGAGAAAAAATTCGCTTATCTTAGAGTTTTCTTATTGTTTTAGCAAAATTTAACTATGGCAAAACAGAAAAAACTGCCAAAGTTTTTCATCGATTTTGGTCGAAAATTTGTCATTTTTGGCCGAAAAATCGATATCTTTCGTAATTTTGTAGATTTTGTAAGGTTTTTACGGTAAGAATAGTTAAAGAATAGTTTAGAAACGCTTCCGTTATTGTTTTAGAAAAATTGGATTCTTTAAACAAAGTTCCGCCCCGCCCCCCGATATTGCAAAAGAACCCATGCATTTTTGCAAATTTGCTCGCTTCAACGCGCTTGATTCCAGGATTCCGGGCCTCTACTCGTCGGTGAAGAATCGTTTCGGCCGTCCCCTGTCGCTCTTCTCGATCAAAAATGTGTGGCCGAGTCTGCAAGAACGTCTCCACCACGCCTCCCGCCTCTACAATTTTAGGCAATTTTTTAAAGAGATAGGGGCGGCATAAGTCAATCGATTACGCGAGGGAAAGAAAATGTCTCTGCGCCTCTCCCCTGGGAGCCCTCTCTCGCGCGAGATCGCCGCGGGACCTGTTGAACCCCCCCCCCAAGGGGGTTCAACAGATGCCGTCCTCATCTCTTTAAATTCTATTTTTTTAGGGGTTTCCAGGATTTTTATTTTTGGAAGAAATTGCATGCTTTTTGCTTAATTCTTGCCGAATTTTGAGAAGAGCACTTTGCGCTATTTTGTTAATAACGTTTTTTTAGTCAGCCGAGATCGCGGGAATGGCTTCACGAGCTGCTCGTCGATGACTCTGATTCGGAGTACGAGGCCGACCACTTTCAATTCAACGAGGAGGACATTAGGACGCTGCTCAAGGTTTGTGAAGGCTTGGTTTCATCAAAAAATCCCCTTTCTCGTCACGAATTTGTAAGTAATGAAAAGTATCTCTTCAAAAACGCCTTCTGACCCCTTTCTTAACACTGCTTTTTAAAAACTTTTTTTGTACGTTTTAAGTGTTTTAACTTTGAAAAACTAAACTTTTGAAAAAAGTAAATATCCAATAGCCCTCCTCCGCTAATGAACCAGAACCCAGGCCAAGATTAACCAATTTTTTCAACCAACCAAACCAGAACCAATTTTTTTAAATTATTTTTAAAGAATGTGTTTTTAAAGTCTTAAAGAAAGAAACATTTTTTAAAAGGTTGTATGGAGGGTTTCTCATTAAATGTCGCTCTTAATCAATATGTTTCAGATCCATCGCCGACGGCGTGCCATCCAAAAGTCCTACCACCTCGATGCTGCCGGGAATACGGTAGGCTTTTATGCCTTTTCGTGCTCCCAAAATTGGTGCAAACTGGAATTTCATAATGCCGAATTTTTCTGCGTAGTTTGGGTTTTGTCCGGCGATTTGCCTATTGAATTTCGGCATTCTGAACTTTCGAAATAATGACATTTTTTGTTGAATTTTTCAGTTTTTTAAAATCTTATTAAAAGGAAAAATTCATGAAAATTATGAAAGTCATGAAAAATTTCCTGGAAATACAGAGCTTTCGGGTTTTTCGGTGGCCTTGCTGGCGCTAAATTATTTTTTCAAAAAATTAAATGGGCTCGCTTGTTGTAAGAATTCATTAAAATAATAAAAAACATTAAAATTTCCCTGGAAACACAGGTTTTTCATGTTTTTTTTGATGGCCTTGATGCTGCTAAATTATTTTCGTTATAAAACACCCTTTTTTCAGTGCATGTACTACGGCGCGGGCTTGGTCAGCCTCAACGATCAATTCATGGACGGAAACGGGCTGATGCGACACTCCGTCTACCGATAGCGGCTTCTCCTGCCCTCCCCCCGCCACTTCCACTCGGCTACTGTATCGAGAGGCAAATCGGGTTTGCCTTGTTTTGCCCATTTCGGGGGCCCTCCGGATTTTTTAAAAGTGGCCAATCCTAGCAAAATTTAGCTAGTAATCTAGGATCTTTTTGAGGTTTTTTACCGATTTCGAGTATTAAAGATGAGATCTAAAATAAGATTATTTAAAATTAAATTAAATTATGTTAAATTAAATTAAGGTATTAAATTCCAAAATAAATATAAAAATATCAAATCGTCCTGAAAGCTTAAATAAAGTATCGAAAATTAGTAAATAAGCTATAAAATGCTCGGAAAGTTAAACTAATTAAATTTCAACGTAACCGAAAAATTAAATAGACGTTTATTTGGAGGATTTTCGATCTGATACCTAGAGCTTGAAATAATAATCGTAATAATAATAATACTTCATTGCAAAATTTCGTAAAATCACCGGAATTTATAAAGGAATATTTTAAAAGTATTTACAAATGTTTTAAGAAAAAAATTAAATTTTAAAAAATCGAAAAGAATATTTAAATAAAATCCGTAAATAGTCCTTCTGGCCGCTCTAAAATCCGCAAACCACCCCCGGGGCCGAACAGGGATTTTTTTGGATTTTTGATACAGTACCCCCCGATAAGCGATAAGCGACTAGCTTTTGCTCCCTGTGTATTTTTTGATATATGTACCCTCTCCTCCCCCGTCTCCTCATTCCCAGGCTAAATACGTGTATCCCGTTGATCTCTCAATTTGCGTGCCCCCGAAGAAGCCTTTTTCTCAAAAGAAGAAGAAGAAGATACGCTTCAGATAAATATATGCCATTTTGGTATGGGATATGGACGGAAAACACGTACCATGCGGGGGAAACGCTTTAAAAGCATCTAACAAGGGAAGTGCACGACCGGCCCACGAGAAATCGACACGAGACATAGTGGATCTGATAGAATCGGACACGGGGATTCCGAATCTGTAATCAGAATTTGCTAAATAAAATGGAGAAAAAAGTTATGAAGCTTGAAAGTTGGTAAAATCGCCCAAAATCGGACTTTTATGGTCCGGTAAAGGCCCAGGGAATGGAAATTTGCCACAACCCATTAGTGCATCTTGTTCAGCAGAAAAAGCGCTTTCGAATGAGCTATCTTACTGAAGTTTACGATGATTTCGCAGAAATCTCTTCTATGAACTTGACAGGCCATACCCTGGCCCGTGAATCCAAAAAAACTTTTTTCAGTGAATTGTTTGCAAATGCTACATATTACAGCCCATTCGAAAGCGCTTTTTCTGCTGAACAAGATGCACTAATTCTTTTCTCCTCAATTCCGTTCCCCCGGTTTTTACGGGCCCTTAAAGGTACCGTTTTTGGCGATTTGGCCAACTTTGATGCTTCATAACTTTTTTCTCCGTTTTATTTAGCAAATTCTGATTACAGATTCGGAATCCCCGTGTCCGATTCTATCAGGTCCACTATGTCTCGTGTCGATTTCTCGTGGGCCGGTCGTGCACTTCCCTTGTAAGCTTTAAAAAGCTGCCAATTAAACTAAAAAACGTTAAAGTTAAACCTTAAAAAAAGGTTAACGCCAATCGAAAGGACAGGGAAAGAGCTAAAGGGACAAGGACACGACATTTTCATTGAGTTTTCCGTTGTCGCGATGCGCAACGCGCCCGCTTCGAAGCCATGTTCTCAGCCGATTACGTGATGCAATGCGGGCGCTTTTTACGCGCAGACCTGGCCAACGTTTTAAAACGGCCAGGTGCTTTTGCGTTATCGGGGGGCGGGATTATCAGGGGAAACAAAAATGATGAAGAAATGCTTATTAACGTCTTTTTATAGTTTTGGGCAAAATTTAACTATACATATTTTGAGTCGAAAAACTATCTAAAAAATTTAAATTAGACTTTTTCGTCGGAAATCGATATTTTTTGTATTTTTTGTAGTCCGAATTTAGAAATTATTTACGGTTAGGCATAGTCAAAAACACTTTAGAAACGCTTTCTTTCTTTACATTATATTAGCAAATATTTGGAAACCCCCCGATAATGCCAAAGATCCAACGGCTGTGAAGGGTGATCTGGATTTTGCCGTACCCGCCACACGCACCGCACGCTTACAAGCGCCTAAAAACAGCTAGAGCCTAAAAATCTAGAAATTAAAGCTAAACAAAAATTTTTAATTCGCTATTAACTTATTTACAGTAAATTTAAAAGATAAAAGCCGAAAGGCGACAAAGAAAGATGAGAAGCAATTTTTAAATCAATTAAATAATGCAAAATAGCTTTTTCATCATTTGTTTCAATTAAGAAAAGAACCCTAGAAATTGCCCCTACGCTTTTTTACGCTAGTTTTTTCGTTTTAATTCACGAATTCACCCGTTTCTAAAAATAGTTGCCCCTGTGATGCAACGCCTCGGCTTTTCGGCGTGTTGGCCGGTGTTGTGGCTTCGTGACGACGCGGCCACCTCATCCAACAACAATTTTTCGGGGGCTGGCAACCGTCGTAGACCTCGAGAATGAGACCGTAGCTTTTTAACCTATTATTTCTGGGGTTTTCTATAATTACATGCTCTTTTGGTACTGGGCTGTTAGCGGGGGGGGGGAGGTACATTTTCCCCCATTAGTCCCGTACGGTACTAAAGCGTAACTTAAACTTTATAGCATTTTTACAGGATTTTTAGATACTTTTCGTAAAAAATGCATAAAATGACGCAAAAAGCAGCATTTTAAATTTACGGTAATTCTTAAAATATTTTTTATAGTTTTCTAGCAATCAAAAACTACTAAAAGCACCAAAAATACGTTATATATATCCTTAAGAGATGCGTAGGGGCAATTAAAATTTGTCCCCCCCCCGATAATAGACCAGTGCTAACCTGAATGCGTTGTTTACACGATTGTCTAAAAAATCTCGGCTAGCCTACCCGTTCCTATGGAATCTCGGCTAGCCTGCCCGTTCCTATGGAATCTCGGCTAGCCTGCCCGTTTTCTAAAGATCTCGGCTAGCTAGCCTTCTTCCGGTAAAACATAGTACGTTCGTGCTACGTGCGTCTAATCCGTATTCCGGGGGTGTTCGTCGTAGTGTTGTGTGTGTGTGTGTGAGGGTGGTATAGGCGGTGTGAGGGTAGAGCATTGTTTATCCGCGGCACCCCGGTTTGCGGCTTCTTGTCTCTCCCATATACAGAGAAGAGGAGGAACGGACGGTCCCGCAGCGCTAAAGAAGGGCCCGGTCAGCCGGCCCCCAACGCGCCCCGCGCGTCGACTGGTTCAACATGCTGCCACGCTGGCCAGCCCCGGCAGCTTGACGACGTCAAGCTGGGCCCTGGTTTTTAGGTTCTAGCTATCGGCGCATAAAGTTTGTTTTTTGGGTTTAAAATAAGGTTTTTTGTAACTTTCCTTTTCTGGATTCTTTAGAAAAAGGCAGGCTAGCAGAGATTCTTTAGGAAAGGGCAGGCTAGCAGAGATTCTTTAGGAAAGGGCAGGCTAGCAGAGATTCTTTAGGAAAGGGCAGGCTAGCAGAGATTCTTTAGGAAAGGGCAGGCTAGCAGATATTCTTTAGGAAAGGGCCGGCGAGCAGATATTCTTTAGGAAAGGGCAGGCTAGCAGAGATTCTTTAGGAAAGGGCAGGCTAGCAGAGATTCTTTAGGAAAGGGCAGGCTAGCAGAGATTCTTTAGGAAAGGGCAGGCTAGCAGATATTCTTTAGGAAAGGGCAGGCTAGCAGAGATTCTTTAGGAAATGGTGAGGCTATCAGAGATTTTCTGAGGAACACCTAATAAGCCTATAAATAATCGTTTTTGCTTATGAAAACTTTTTACTCACCTGGTAATTTCCAAATTACCCCTGCTAGTTGCCCCCTTGAAAGCCCCCATGATGTCTCTACATTCTCCCCGGATTGTGCTCTATCGCTTTGCTATGCATTTCCAGAAAGAGAGAGAGAGAGAGAGAGAGAGAGAGAGGGAGAGAGGGAGAGAGGGAGAGAGAGCTAGAGAGAGAACACCGACTTCAGCTGACACGTTGTTTGCGGCGTTCGACGCGTCGTCCGCGTCGAGTCTTGACCTATTTGGGGGTTCGGTCTTGTCCCCCGCATCGGGTTCTGTGCCCGCCGCTCGCGCTATTCATCTCAATTCACAGAACCCCTCGTTCTCTTATCCCAGGCGTCAATTAGCAGCCATGTGTACAATATTGGACTAGGATTAAAAATGATTTCCTCAAGAATCTCTGCTAGCCTGCCTTTTCCTAAAGACTCTCTGCTAGCCTGCCCTTTCCTAAAGAATCTCTGCTAGCCTGCCATTTCCTAAAGAATCTCTGCTAGCCTGCCGTTTGCTAAAGAATCTCTGCTAGCCTGCTATTTCCTAAAAAATCTATGCTAGCCTCTCCATTTCCTAAAGAATCACTGCTTGTTCTCCATCACCTCGAAAAAGCTTTCTTTTTTGTATGACGTTTCACGTTTTTTTATGAACCTTTTTTTGGGAAAATTACCCCACATTCAATTACGCGCTGGAATTCCCATTTTTTAGCATTCCGTTCCCTTCCTGTTTCCACTTTTTTGGGGCCAATCCGGCACTTTGCCCCGTTTCGATTGTGAGTCAAAGTGGTCAGCCCGGTGTGGTGCTTTTGTGACTCATCGACCCGGGCGATTATCTCCACTGGCTGGTAGCAGACAATTTTCATGGCATGTTCCAGTGGTTGTACCGATCCCGAAAAGTTGTCAAAATCTTTTTAACCTTTTTACTAGTTTATTTTGATGTTTTTATCAAGTTTCTAATGTTTTCAAATTTTTTTTGCGGCGTAATTAAGCTTTAGCAAAAGCGTTAAAATTTTGAGGTAGATCTAAAAACTCTAAAAATCCGTTTCCTAAATTTTATAAAGACAAAGCTGCATTTCTACGTTTTCTACGTTGTAAATTTCTGCTAAATTTCAAGCGAAAAAATTATCTAAAACTTTTAAAGCGCTTAAAAATGCGAAAATTATCGAAAAACATT